CGACTTCTTCCCGATACAAGATGGAATCTATCGCGAAGAACTTCTGTACCAACCTCTTCCGCTCATCAACACCCGTGCCGATGCCCGCTGTTCCCACTGGAGAAGTACAACTACGAATTCTACCTTCTAAAGTGCGCACAGCGATTCAAATTATGAAGACGTCCACGGCTCCAGGACCAGACCATCTTTCCGTCGAATTTCTGCGAGCTGGAGGAAAACGTTTACACGCGATTCTCGCGTCGCACCTAACATCTTACCTTCAGAAGGCAAGGATTCCCGACCAATGGAGAACATCAAGAACCGTCCTTCTTTTCAAGAAGGGTGAAGGGAAGATCTTCGGAACTACCGTCCAATATGCCTGCTGAGTGTGCTGTACGAGCTTTTCACAAAGATTATCCTCGCTCGCATATCTAGGACACTGGATGAAGCCCAACCCCAAGAACCCCAAGAACTTTTTGTAAGGAACGCCATAGAGCGTATGAATAAATAAATAAATAAATAAATAAACAAGCTGGATTTCGCAAAGGATTCAGCTGCATGGACCACATACAGACGGTTTCGAGGGTTACAGAAGTCTGCCGGGAATACCGATTGCCTCTCGTCCTAACCTAACCTTTGTCGATTACGAGAAAGCCTATGGCAGCGTCGAAACCAACGCCATTTTGTCTGCGCTAGTCGATCAAGGAGTGGATCCAGCTGACGTTATCCGACTGTTACAAGAACTGTACAACGACGATGCAGTTGTTCCATCGCCCCCTGACTATTCCAATTGGGAAGGGGGTCCAACAAAGCGACACAATTTCGCCATGTTGTTCACCGCGGCCTTGCAGTGGGTGATGAAGTCACTGGACTGGGACGAGAGAGTCATACGAGTTGATGGGAGATTCCTGTCCAACCTTCGTTTTGCGGACGACATCGTTCTCTTTTCGAGCAGTATCGCTGAAGCAGAGACGATGCTGAAGGAACTGAACGAAGTAGGGAAGAAGATCGGATTGCGAATCAATCGGAAGAAGACTCAGTTCATGAAGAGCGCCCTTTGCGAAGATGCAGAAATGGAAATGGAAGGCACCCCTATCACGGAGACGTCTTCTTACGTGTATCTCGGACGTTTGATGAACATGGAGAACGACTTGAGGGAAGAACTTAACAGAAGAAAAGCAGCCTGGGCCGCCTTCTGGCCTCTGAAGGAAGCCACCGACCAACTGACTACCTGGAGCTTCGTGCCCACCTGTTCGACTCAACCGTTCTCCTGGCGCTCTGTTACGCAGCTGAGACTTGGGCTGACACCGTAGCCACTTCGAAAGCTTTAAGGACCACCCACAGAGTGCTAGACCGTAGTCTTGTGAAGATGACCCGACACAAACAACATCTCGTCGGACTTCGCAGTACGGATATGAGAAGTATGTCCCGTCTTCGTGACCCAGCGGAATACGTTGCGAAAGCCAAACACCGATGGGCCGGTCACATAATGAGAAAAACAGACGACAGATGGACACTAAGAACATCTGAGTGGATTCCTCGCGAAGCAAAACGTCCCCGAGGAAGACCTCCAACGAGATGGGCAAACGTGTTCGTGGAACGGATGGACCAGCTGAGAAATTAGCTGGATACGATTTTTGCACCCGGAACTCGTGGACGCAGCCACCGACATCAGCCAAGAAGATCGTTGATGTCTGAAGCGAGGGACAGGGAGAAATGGAAGCTTCTGAGCTGAGGTCCGCACGTCACGTGAAGCCGGGCCATCTAAGTATCTAAGTAAGTAAGTATTCGTTCCAATTCATTCGTGATCGCGCATCATAGTCGATGTTGTATTTATGTGCCGAAGTCTACAGGTACTTCGTTTTTGAAAATTAAAAAAAATCCACCTCATGACGAGCCCTGTATGTATTTCGTTCGAATACGAATTCGAATAAAACATTCGAATAAAATCTATTCAAACCCAGTTTTTGATTATTTGAGTTTTGAATATTCGAAATCCCGATTAGTTATTCGAGTCCCGAATATCATCGAATATGGAAAATCTCCGAATATTGAAATTCGTACGCGAATATATTCGAATGTTCTACACGAATGATCAAATTTTGATTCGATTCGGACCCAAGTGTACTGGTAGCGTACGTCACATTTTTGTCCAGGATTTTGGTTGCAATTTGCTCTATGAAGTATGTGCCAGGTTGACATACAGACAGACAAACAGACGTAAACAGCACTTAGCCCGTTAAGTCATAGAGATATTAAGACATAGGTGGCCATCAACGACCAAGACTCGTGACACATAGTACTTACAAGTGCACTTAGAATTTGATGTATTTGGATAATATCTACAACCAGCCGCTCTCTGCCGCTACGCGGCAAGTTCGGCTGGTACACGGCAGCTTCGCTTCCGGTAAATCTTTCGTTTTGTTCTTTATTGAAAGTGAAATGCAGAAAATTTGCCATTTTAACGAACACTTCGTTTATAACCGGCGCAGAAAGAACGACCGTGGGCAATTTCGGCTTTGCCAGTTTATTTCGAATTAACATCCTAAGAAATGAATATTACGCGAACTGCAAAAAATCAATAAAGAAAGGGTCGATGATTATAGTCGAACAAAAGGCTCATTAAAACACTTCTCACCCATGCATTATGCCTGGCAAATTTGGTCTATATTCCATAACTCCTTCTATCGTTTTCAAGCAAATACAATTTCTAGGCAAAAGTGCAAAAATCCTTAAATCAATAGCAAGTAACCGTGTGTATCGAACAAAATGGCTTATTAACAACGGCGCACACCATGTATTACGTCTGCCAAATCTGCCTTAAACCCCATGATCCCATTTTTCTATCTGTCTTGAACGGACATAAAAAAGGGGTTAAATCAAATTTATAAATCTAATAATCTGTATATCTAATCTATATCTTTTTGAAATTGGTAGTGCTGGCGATAATGAAGGTAACTTACGTGCACCCGGGCAGGCTCTTCCTGGGCTCTGGTGCTTCCTGGCCATGGTGAAAACGGTTATGTCACAGTCACGGAGCTCCGCATTGTGCCATGTGTTCGAGTTCTCTGCGCAATGTGCATCTGCGGAATGGGAGTGGAGGTAGGTGCCGGTTCAAACATTACTTGTTGCCGCGAGTCAAGCGCAGAGATTGTTTATGCTGTGTTCTCGTCGATTGGCTCGTGTCGTCGTTGGCCAACCCGTTCTGGGCTCGCACCATGCCCGATTCGATCCAGTGTCTCCTGAAGGCGTCTGTTAAGCTGTGCTTCCTGCTACCGTCGACGAAGATGACGTTCACGCATTGAGGCAAGACGACGTTCTCGTGCCTCTGGTATTTCTCGGCTACGACGAAGACGGCTACGCATGGCTTCAGAAGTGCGCCTTGCAGCGGTACGGGCTCGGATTCGGCGATATGCACCTGCGTCTGAGGTGTGGAGGTGGAGGGTCCATTGCTGTAGGGGGTCAATATCGGCGCCATCTCTCGGGTGTAAAAGTAGTCGAAGGAGGTACGACCGATGAAGGCATGGTATGAATGAACCGTAAGGCCGGGATAGGGTATTTTGATTTGGTGGTCATCTTTGATCTCGCGGATGAACTATTTTGATTTTGTTGAGAGCTATGCAGTCGACGAAACCCGTTGCTAAAGGTCAATGCATAGTTAAGTATCAGCTAGCCTTCTGAATGTGGCATACAAAAAATTTGAAAAAAAGGTCTAAAAAGTTTAGTGGTTAAAGTTGTAGCTATTTTATTCGAATTGACCATGCTTAGCTATCCCTTCCTGCCAGTTTTCCTCAACAGAGATTGAAACACAAAAATCGATAAATCGATAATCCCTATATGGTGAAAAAGCTTAGTGACACCGGCCCCACCCCGGAGTTCATGTGTGCAAAGTTTCGTTTGAATTTAATGAAGTTTTCTAACATTTTAGGCCGGTCATAACGAAATTGCTAGGCAAAAAACGCAAAAAATCGATAAATCGATAGCGCCACTCGGCGATTTTCGGTGAAAAAGCTTAGTGACACCCGCCCCACCCCGGAGTTCATGTGTGCAAAGTTTCGTTTGAATTTAATGAAGTTTTCTAACATTTTAGGCCGGTCATAACGAAATTGCTAGGCAAAAAACGCAAAAAATCGATAAATCGATAGCGCCACTCGGCGATTTTCGGTGAAAAAGCTTAGTGACACCGGCCCCACCCCGGAGTTCATGTGTGCAAAGTTTCGTTTGAATTTAATGAAGTTTTCTAACATTTTAGGCCGGTCATAACGAAATTGCTAGGCAAAAAACGCAAAAAATCGATAAATCGATAGCGCCACTCGGCGATTTTCGGTGAAAAAGCTTAGTGACACCGGCCCCACCCCGGAGTTCATGTGTGCAAAGTTTCGTTTGAATTTAATGAAGTTTTCTAACATTTTAGGCCGGTCATAACGAAATTGCTAGGCAAAAAACGCAAAAAATCGATAAATCGATAGCGCCACTCGGCGATTTTCGGTGAAAAAGCTTAGTGACACCCGCCCCACCCCGGAGTTCATGTGTGCAAAGTTTCGTTTGAATTTAATGAAGTTTTCTAACATTTTAGGCCGGTCATAACGAAATTGCTAGGCAAAAAACGCAAAAAATCGATAAATCGATAGCGCCACTCGGCGATTTTCGGTGAAAAAGCTTAGTGACACCCGCCCCACCCCGGAGTTCATGTGTGCAAAGTTTCGTTTGAATTTAATGAAGTTTTCTAACATTTTAGGCCGGTCATAACGAAATTGCTAGGCAAAAAACGCAAAAAATCGATAAATCGATAGGCCACTCGGCGATTTTCGGTGAAAAAGCTTAGTGACACCCGCCCCACCCCGAACTTCATGTGTGCAAAATTTCGTCCAAATTCCTTGTTTCCTTGTACCATTTCAGGCCGGTCATAAAAAAAGTGCTTATCCAAATATTATATAAATATTGATATTGATCAGCAGCGGGGCTACGGCCACTTTTATTTGCTTCCAGTTCCATTCGATACTAAGTTAAGAATACCCTAGAAAGAGAAAACTGGTGAAATGCTTGAAGAATGCACGGATCAGGAATGGGAAACAGGCGCTACTGCAATGCCAGCGGAAATGCTAAATATTGAGAAGAAGCCAGTAAGCCTAGTAGTTTTTTTTTGTTGCACACTTATGAGACGAGTGACAGAGTACTGTCAACGTATTTGTGGCGCCCAAAGAAAAGGGTGAGACTATTTTGCAGTCAACATCGAGGCAGGTGGAACGCATAAAAGGTTTGCGTACATTCTACTGAATTAATGAGTATTAATGTTAGTGTCATATCAACATCCGGTATGATATTATCGCGATTGGTGAGGCACATTTCACTAAACTGCGGAAAGCTGTTTTGCTTAACGATGCTCACCATGTGGCAGTTTTGAACTCAAAGCGAAAACAACAATTACCGTTTTTCTAAATTTTGTTATCTAACCCATTTCTTGATGTCAAAAACGCCACCAGCATAGTGACTCAAATTTTAAAGACTTCCAAATCTATTAAAAAAGGCACAAAATAAGTCTCTGCCTATAATTTTTAAGAGCTACTCGATTTCGAGTACTGTACGGTTGGGAAATTTGTAGTGATCATAATTCTTATAGAAAGTTTTGAAAGCTCAATAAAAAAGATTTCGAAAGTTAATCAGTTTTTCGAAACTAGCTGTCAAAATGCGAGTACATGTAAAAAATGTATGTAAAAAGCTATTTCGTTTTAAAGGGCAGTTTGAGATGTCGAAGAAGAGGAAAAACCTAAGAACCGTACACTTCGATATAAAATTGGTAAAATGATTTGTGCAAATAAAAAAGTAGAATGATTACCACTTTGATCAAACCCAGCCTGCTGTAAAACACAAGCTATGATCGCCGATTTAACATCTTTATTCCAAAAAAAAAACTCGATCAAGTTATTAGTTGTAGACGGAATGTAGATATAACAGAACACCATGAGGGAGTGCGGGTAGAGCACGAAGTCGATACATGACTCGATAATATCAAGCAGCCACAATAGAGAGACTTTTACATTGCTTGCGTACAGCACGTATTGCCTTAATCTGCCTGCCCTCATCTCGTCCTCCCCCTTGATGTCACAAGCTCCTTGTGAATTTCGACGGTCTTTTTATAACTTGCAAAATCTCGAAATTCTTCAATGTCAAACTGAAGAAATTTTTTTTAGCCTTAACAGTGAGAAATCGATATCGACGTTTATTCGGCAATTTCCAGAATATCGTGGCAAGATTATTGAGAATTTTTTAGCTGTAGGATAGTGAAAGAGAGAAGTGCAAATTTTATTTTGTTATCATCATGCAACTTTTGATATGCAGATAGTAGAATCCAGGTTAGAAGAAGAAATCTAAAAATTAAGTGAGCGAAAGATCACAGCTCAGCTACGCACTTTTACAAGTAGTAAACACTGCAAAATTCTCATTTGCTCAGCTACTTTAGAAAAGATAGCTAGGTAGCTTTTACTCAATTTCTAAACTTATAAAACTATAATTTATGAAAATTTATAAATTTCTTACATATGTTCGACGTCCTGAGCTAAACATTTTGATTTGATTATCACTGCGTGTTTGCTGCGTGCAAGGTCCATTCATTTTTTTTGACTGAAGCCCGAACATATATGCGATTTCATCTCCTCGCTATTCTCTCAACATGACAACTATTACGAGTTCATAGCATGCTGATCATCTTGCATTTTGGTTACTAGTCGTATCGGAAAACTGTCGCATTCGAAATGTAAGATGATCTGCATGCAATGAACTCGTAGCAGTTGTCTTGTTGGGTGAATCACGGGGCGATAAAAATGCGTGTTGTATGCCCAGTCTTTAGGCCCTGGACATACCTCATGCGACGAAGTCGTCGCGATTTATGACTGCGACAATTCGCTTGAATATGCGACTAGAACGGCGACTGTGTCGCTCACCGCTGATTCGTCGTACTCTGATCACGGCACTTCACACATTGAAGAATGAACAATTAATTAACAGACGCTCCCGTACGCTGTGTTTGGGAAATTCGTTACTTTACATTGCTTTGAAGGTTGCAAAGATTTTGCTCACACAACTAGCCGACTGAATATTACGCACACCTGCCTCAACGGTTTAATACAATTTTCCAGTCATCTTGTTTCTGGTCCTATCATGTGTGGAATTTGTATAATAACAATTTCCTTGTCAGGGAAGATAAATTCATGCTTCAGTAGCTTTCAAAGTAGGGCTAGCTCATCATTATAGACAACTAGCTGGCTTACCCGGCTCCGCCGTATGTTCCGAATAGAAAATTCCATTTCTCAACCGATCCGGACCAAACTTGGCACACATACCCTTCGGGCCCGGCGGGTGTCATAGGCTACTTTTCGTCATCGATCGATATCGATTTTATCGATTTTTTGCAGAATTTGAGCTACGGGGCTGGGAGTTGGCACAGGGGGGTAATCGAGCCTGCTGATTACGAATACAACAGTTTTCGAAACCGTGCATTACTAATCGAGCATGCTGATCACCCCCGTGGGGGTGATCAGCATGCTCGATGGCGATTACACCCCTCTGCCAAATTCCAGCCCCCTAGCTCAAATTTTGCAAAAACGATAAAATCGATATCGATCGATACGAAAAGTAGCCTATGACACCCGCCGGGGCCCGAAGTGTATGTGTGCCAAGTTTGGTCCCGATCGGTTTAAAAATGGAATTTTCTATTCGGAACATACGTACAGACAGACATACATACAGACAGACAGACATACATACATACAAACAGACATTCAGCTTTATATATAAGATAGATACAATTTCTTCAGTTATGGCATGAAAATGTAGAATTTGCCTAAGGACTACGACGAGCATCCCCTCTTGGGAATTGACACTGTTTGTCATCAAAAGAAAGCTACTCCAAGTATATCAGGAGGCTACGAGGAACCATTTTCTCCGGAAGCGGCAATGAGATAGATTCTGAATGTCAAGAGGAATTATTACACATCATTGAAAGTTGATGTAGAAACGGAACATGTTACATTCTTGTGTCAATGATTCACGAACGTAAAAGCTTGCTGAAATTTCTATAGCTCTTTAACGTTGAACGAAGAAAAAGACCTTGATAACTCGTCAACAATAATAAAATGCATGATATGCTAGTTTCTTTAGTGCTATCGCTCCGCCGCTTCCCGCAAATAAACGACGCGATATCGCGGCGATTCGGCAAAATTGCGACGATGTCATGCACGTCTAAGGCCTAAGGCATACCTCCAGCGATACCGTCGCTACGATTTTCGATCGCTGCGACTAGGCTGCCTGGGCGACCGTTCACTGCGGGAAAATCGCTCATCGCTGATTACCGAACATACCCAAGATTTCGTAGACGCTCACACACCATACCGCTTATACGCACTTTTGAAAAATTTGTCTAAATTGTCTGAAATACATCTATTCAAATGCAGCGTCCAGGCAAATCTGGACACATGCGGATCTTACGTGGATAGTAGCTTTGGGGCCCTAACTAGCCATTACCCAAACGGCAACTTAGGTGGTACTCTAACGGCTGAGATATTCCTCTCGAAACTAGACCTCACCATCGTATTCAGCATAGATTCATGGCGAAAGCGTGGGTTGTCGTGCGAAACTGCCGTTCCATGCGAAACGATCCTGGTGTCCAGTTCGGAGGCGTGTAGCTCAGCCGTTAATGAGATATTTGCGCTGCCGCTTGGGCGCTGTCTTAGTTAAGGCCCCAAAATTACCTACAAGGTAAAATCCATAGGTCCAGATCTGCCTGGACGCTGCCTTTAAGGATATTATAGATTACTAGCTGGCTTACCCGGCTCCGCCGTATCCGGACCAAACTTGGCACACATACACTTCGGGCCCCGGCGGGTGTCACAGTCCACTTTTCGTTATCGATCGATGTCGATTTTACCGATTTTTATCGATTTTTTTGCAGAGTTCACCTACAGGGCTAGGAGTTGGCACAGGGGTGGGGGGGGGGGGGGAAGTGAGCATGGGGATTCCGAATACAATATTAGTTTTCAGAATTATCGATTACTTTTATTGATTTTTTTTTGTAAATTTTGACATGCGAGGCTGGGATTTTGCACAGGGGGGTAATCGAGCATGCAGATTACGAATACAATATTAGTTTTCAAGATCGTCCATTACTTTTATCGATTTTATCGATTTTTCGAAAATTTGAGCCCCCTTGGGGATGATCAGCATGCTCGATTACCCCCTGTGCCAACTCCCAGCCCCCTAGCTCAAACTTTGCAAAAAAATCGATAAAATCGATAAAAGTAATCGATAATCCCGAAAACCAATATTGTATTCGTAATCTGCATGCTCGATTACCCCCCTGTGCGAACTCCCAGCCCCGTAGCTCAAACTTTGCAAAAAATCGATAAAATCGATAAAAGTAATCGATAATCCTGAAAACCAATATTGTATTCGGAATCCCCATGCTCGATTACCCCCCTGTGCCATCTTCCAGCCTCGTAGGTGAACTCAGCAAAAAAAATCGATAAAAATCGATAAAATCGATATCGATCGATGACGAAAAGTAGCCTATGACACCCGCCGGGGCCCGTAGCGTATGTGTGCCAAGTTTGGTCCGGATCGGTTCAGAAATGGAATTTTCTATTCGGAACATACGTACATACAGACAGACATACATACATACATACATACATACATACATACATACATACATACATACAGACAAACAGACATTCAGCTTTTTATATAAGATAGTGCCATATGCTTTCAGAGAACATTACCTCAAACGAGGAACGATATGGATCCACACTCATTCTAACATTTACCAACGTTTTTCTACCGGCTTAAGTTAGCATCTGCAATGAAATTGGCTTTCATGAACTTTCAAGTTCATTCCTTCAATCGGCAGGCATATACGTTACTTCGCTAAAGTAAAGTCATGTTTTCGGCTCTGCAAAAAACTCTGGGTAGGAAAATTTCAACGAGTACTGCGCGGTTTCTGCGAACGATTACATATATATACCTAATCGCTTCAGAAATCAGAGCAAGAACATTCGAGATCCGGTCACCATTTACTTGTTATTGATAAATAAGAACAGGAGAAAATTAGTGCTGCAAGAACAGTAAATGGTAGCACAGCACAGAGGTTAAGGTGGTAAAGTGACATATGAGAAGCATTCCATGCCATATACTTCGCATACGCTGTTTTCAGTGGTTAATAGTAGGGAATGTTTGATGACCATCCTTCTATCATGTAGAGAGGAAGCGCTTGTTTGAGATGGTATAGTTCTAGATGGGATTCGCATTTGCAAAAAAATAAAGAACATCTCACAAAAAAGAAGCAATTCAAGCGATTCGCCTCGCTGGTGCAGACCTAGCGACGGCGACATCGTTGATTCAGCGAAGTCGCAAAGATATCCCTGCTAGAGTATGCCCGTCCAAAAATGGCCCGCGATTCGTCGCAGCGTCTATCTAACACAGACGCGGCGGGACCACACAGTTCGAGGCGCGTGCGCTGCGGACTCGGAACATATGTCCGAGTTCGAAATCGCGACGCGACTAGGATCGCGAAAGGTATGCCTTAGGCCTAAAGTGTGCAGCGATTCGTCGCGCCGAACAGCGACCACGAAAGCGTCAGGACTCACACGCTTGAAAGCGCGCGCAACACTTATCCAGTTATTAACAAATCGCGTCGCGATGAAATCGTATGAGTCATGCCCAGGACCTCAACTGATACATGCTTTGCGTACGTCTGGTTAACAAGTTCATGACTACGTTCTAGAGCGTTTTGGATGACATGTTCGAACTCGCGTTGTTTAACGAGCTTGCACATGGCTGTTAGCTTGCACAGTTTTCAGTGAATTATCCAAAACGCGTTAGAACGGTGGATGACATACTATCGAAAATTCTGAAAGCACATGTTCGAGCTCGATAAACTACGCGAGTTCGAGCATATTATCCAAAACGCTTTGGAACGTAGTCATGAACTTGTTAATCAGGCGTACGCAAAGCGTGCTCTGTCTCTTAGTCAGAAATCAATGATTTTTGTTCATGTAGGGCACGCCGATGCATTGTCGGATATAGAAAAGATCGGAGCCTGACGTAATGCTTAGTTGCTCTACATAGGTCTAATTATGATATCCATCATACAAGGTTATACACAATAAGAAAGGGGAAGGGGGGGGGGGGAGAAGGGGAGGGAAAAGGGCAGCCACCCGGCTACCGCTAGCTGCCGGATGTCACTGTCACAGATAAGCTTTCTTCAGCCAGCTTCATTCTCGATAATTAGCTGCATCCAATAAACTCTCCAAAAATTTTCCGAGAACCCTGTAAAGCAATGTCCCTTCTGCTTTTCTACCTCGAGGAAAACTTAGTTTGCAGCTGTGCCAGTCCTCCCAGCTGTTGATAGAAAAACATTAGACTGGGGCGCAATATTTTGTGACCGCCATGGTGGGTACTGTACCGAAAGACCGAAAGTCATCTTGATAATCATGCGATGACGTTGATAAAGTATCTGCGATAATCGACAAAAATTTGCGAGAGCGAAGTGCGATGTGTACAAGGTGCACCGTGTTCATTAAAACGAGTACAACACAAAACGTGTCTATCTTAACCAAAATAATGCTCAGCTTCTTTGCTTATCGCGAAGCTATACAAACTCAATTTGCGTGTTTTCCGTACTGATGTTATCAACGCTTCTGCACCGAACGAATGAGTTTTAGCTGAAGTACCCGTGCTTGCAGGCCTGAAGGACCCTATACAGCAACTCGTTTATCGTATTTTGAATTTGATGATCAGCGAAAGAGAAAACACGCAGCCAACAGTGAGTCTTGTTCTGAGGGCAAGTAATCAGGGTGTAGAGGATTATATGTCGCCGAAAAAGGGCGGTCCTTGCGGTCATTTGCGACAAATACGCACTCTTGTACATGCGCGGACATGCGTTCCTGCAGGGAATCCGCGCGGGACTCTTCCAAATTCGGCGACATATAGTCCCCCATCCGTAATCAGGTTCAAATCTGTGCTACTTGTTTTATGTTATATCCTCTTGAAATCAATTTTGTGACATTACTGAAACTTCGTGAATTCGTACGTTAGTGAAAAGTTACTGTAAAATACAGTGAATGATATAAAACTTGTTTAATCAAACGTACTGCAAATTATAAGTCTGTGAACTACCGTCTGTTGATTCTTTGCAGAAGCTAAAGACAAATTATTCTTCTAATGTTAACACTGTTCAAGCCGATAAAATTAACAGACATTCTAAAAGAAATTTGCCCTATTCAAAACGTTATTGAGATAGTAAAATTCACTTCTCCATACAACTCAAAGGCTCGTTCACCCAAATTTTCGGCTCCCATGCACTTACGTTTTTGGGCCTTTTTATGACCCTGATATTGAATGTGGTTACATAGATACGTAAATATCGCTCTCTTTAAAACCTTATTTCAACATGCTTGGACGACTACGCCGCTGCTAATCAGGTTGTACAGTCTTCCCCAATCCTAACCAGGCCAAAACTGGCTTGGCGGGAGTGCGCGTCGCGAGGGTTTCGCGCCACTTCTGCGTCTAGCTAGTCTGCTCTCTCCTCAATCTTTTCGCTCTCTGCGACAGCGCGCGTATGCAGCGCAAACCCCTAGCGCTGCGAGCGCGCAAATTCATCCGACGGTTCGGCCTGATCCCGGTTGGGGCAGACTGTATGCAGTAGGAGGCCCCTTCGTATGCAGCACTGACGAGTTACATAATACTGTGTTCGACTGCGCTTGCCATGTCAAAGCATGTCGAGGAGCAATGCTTAGATGGGCAGAGCTAAGCAAAGGGGCAGAACGGGAAACATTTAGATTTTCCTGGACTGCGGACATTCCTCCTTTTAAGGGCAACAACCGGACAAGCACAAAAGATACTTCTAACCTGCTTACTGTCTACATGGTAGTGTAAGCAATATGGTTCTGAGTGAACCTTTTAGCAGCGCCTTTATAAAGAGTGAACGTCCTATTTTTGGAGTAAATAGTGCATTTTTGTGCACCGCCGGACTGTTAGCTTGCGATGACGGATGTGCGATGCCGCAAAAGCAGGTTGACTACCATCCCTTCGCAACAATTCCTTTCGTTTTTGTATTCTACTTTACCTTTCAAATATCAATATTCTGTGAAACAACAATTGCATGACTTGCACCTGAATTCTTACCACCGTGGAAGATGTTTGAATCGAAGCTGTCAATGAGACTGTGCATGTCTACGCACATTTATCATCAAGGTTTTGATAAATCCTTTCATTGGGTCAACACTGACATCTTAGAAACTCCGAGGCACCCATACGGCGTTCACTGCTAGATAAAGTATAGACCAGACCAATTCTCTGCGCTTCTTCCACATTAACATTCGCACAACAGGTGCGCCATATACATGGGTGAGCTTTTTACTCCGGAAAATGGGGTAATTTCTTTTTGGGTTGGAATAAAGAAACCGATCAATAGTGCTGCAGTAAAACAGTGGCGCATCACTTTTGTTGCTTCTCCTATTGATGATTCAGGTCACTTTTCATAATAGGCCGGATTACTTTTGTTAACACCTGACGACCGCTTGACGCACATGACTACCGCGTGGGACTGCTTGACAAACCATGTGTGTCAAGGCTTAAAACTTGTGAAATGACTACTATTCTGGGAAAGAATCACTTCATGGGCTTCCTTTTGCACTAAATCTAGGGATGACTTCTACCTTTTATCAGCCTTTCAGATTTACTGTAAGTGTGCTGTAGATGGCAGTGTGCGTAATTATACGGTTGGTGCAAAAGTTCTTTCCGCCCAAATTCAAAAATTCATAACTTGTTGAATTCTCAACGAATCTGCAAGACCTAAATTTTGCTTAAGAGAAAAACTCATGCTCTTTGCATCTGTACCTGAACTGTTCGTTAATGTTTACAAATGAAGGAGATAGAAGCTCAAAACCAAAATCACTCAAAATTTGAATTTTTCGTGTAGGGTCATAAAAAATCGGGAACTTGCAACAAAAATCGGAGCAGTCAGTATTGTAGGTTCTTTTACCAGCTTCTTCTAACGGTACAAAGTTTGCACCGATTGAGCGTCTCTATCAAAAGTTATGATTTCCCTGAAAAATGCCAAAATAAATCAAATTCGCCCTTTTGTATTGCTTGCTCGAAATTCATATTTTTTGATAGAGACGCTCAATCAGCGCAAACTTTGCACCGTTAGAAAGAGCTGGTGAAGTAACCTACAATACCGACTGCTCCAATTTTTGCTGTAAGTTTCCGATTTTTTATGACCCTACACGAAAATTCAAATTTTGAGTGATTTTGGTTTTGAGCTTCTATCTCCTTCATTTGTAAACATTAACGAACAGTTCCGGTACAGATGCAAAGAGCGTGAGTTTCTCTCTTAAGCAAAATTTAGATCTTGCAGATTCGTTAAGAATTCAACAAGTTATGAATTTTTGAATTTGGGCGGAAAGAACTTTTGCACCAACCTAATAGTTGAAAAATGTGGCTGATCCATAAAAGGCCTTGGTTCCAGAAGGCAGACAACTAAAAATCTGCATGAACGTCAATGTGGTAAGGAAACGCTGCTGTAGACGCGCTTCATGTCCAGAATGTACAACTTTGCCGACAGCAAACAACTTTCCCCATAGAAACGATTGTGGACATGGACAAAGTTTTTTAATACCGCCTGCATTTTTTAGTCACGAAAGTATGTTTCGGTTCTTTCTTAACACGTTTCGGACCGCGAAATCGCGCGCGGCGAAAAAGAGTGTACTTTCGGCCATTAGCCAGCAAAGGAACCTTATTTTGCCGACTGTGGACTACATCTGTAATCAGCATGCCAGATAAGCTCCATATCCAAAGTTCTGGGTGAATTCGAAGCGTTTGTATTTCATCGCCTGAGAGGGACTCTTGTGCTTTCTTGAAAGATGGGAGCAAGAACTCAGTATCGTATAGTATCTAAAAGTATCTATGTTGTACACTGTACTCGTCACTATTGAAACTACGGTTTATCTCTTTGAAATTGGAGCAAAGAAAAGTTCCGACGTCGCACGCGTCGTTCGCGTTGCCACACTTCGTTGCAACTGTTGTTCAATTTGTCCTCATATATCATAAACAAATATCGGCGGCTCAGCTATACAGTGTCATTTAAAAAGTAAGAGCTTAGACCTTTGACTCAATAACTTCGGATTTAAAGAAAACCTCCTGCAAACGTCAGAAAGAACCTTCGAAGCAGCGTGCTGCACCATGTGCAGCACCGGTCCGAAACGTGTTAACAGCCTCCTTTGACACTAGAAAAACGGTTTACCTATGTAACAGCCGTTTATGATAGCTGGAGAATCGAGGAAGCAAAGCTTATCAAAGACTCTTCTCAAGTCTATTAAAATTATCGTACCTCAGCCCATTCTTGCTGTGATAAGGCGACATTAATGAAAATGCTTTGCTCAGGATATTTGTGAATCAAAAAGGTCAAGAAAGCACGGGCAAGGGCACAAGTTTGCTGCCGAATGTGTAATGTACTTACACAGTTGGTTGCTTAGATTTAAATGAACTTGTGTCGGTAAATCCCATATCTGATTATCGACTTTGTATAGTGTATCTTCCGAAAAGACGCTTTTGTGCTCCAGATATCTGCATTCATGGTCTATTATCTTTTGGAGCCTCTACAATCCTAAATCCTGAGCATAATATGAGGCCATATTAGCTAAGATTTTCGCGTAATGTGGGAACTGATTGGCTGCCAATCTTTTACACAGCACGTCAGAAAGTTTAGTTGAAAACCTTCTGCGGCAGCGAAAGCGTGTTTTCAATGGGGAATATGTAGCATGTTTTTATCTAACCCAGCTGGCGAGCAGTGGTCTATCAAAAATCTCGGTATTTTGAGTTTATGAAGATTTTTGCTAGAAAGATTTGATCTATTACACGATACATATAGAAAAATTTGCTACTCATTATCTAAACTCAACTTGTCCCGGTAATCCTAAACCTTTCTTATTCTGCATAGCCGCAAATCAAATGCTCAAAAGTGAACAAGTACATGCAGTCTCAGTGGGTGTTTTTTGCAAGGCCGGCTACTTTCATGTTTTTTCCTCTGTTTTTCCATATTGAAAAGCACTAACAGTACTTCAGATATATGAATGTATGAAGGATGAAAGAGCATTCTAGGCGTTTTCCATGTACAAACGGACTCCTGCAGGGCAGGACCCTTTCACTGTTGCTATTTCTGATCTAAACCTCTGACACCCTTTCAAAAACTCAGACATAAGACAAACCTGATGCCGACATATCAAAATTCGTGGTATATACAACAGGAATAATTAGAGAAATCAACGATGTTTTGCAGCGTGCCATCAGTAACATGGTTGAATGGTGCACAATTGAAACATTTCAGTCAATACAGATAGAAGCTCTGTTTCCCATGTTTGTGCTGCCGCAAGTGATGAACACTATAAGCATGTAGGAGTTTTTTCAGTAAACAAAACATCTATGAAAGACTGAGGTTTTGGATATGATAGCACCTTGAAACCAGATTTGCAATTGTTGAATGTCATTTCTCGTGCATTCTCAATTTTGTAAACAATTTTTCGTAATTAGAATAGATAAATTTGGAATATCACTGAAACATCTTTTTCCCTGCTGTAGAATATGCAAGTTAGATCTGGAGCCTTTCAGAGCAAGCATAAGCAGGCCCTAGAGAACGTCCAGAAGGTTTTCACCTGTTTGCTTTTCCATAGATGTCATCTTAATTGTGATTATCCACTACCGCTTCCAACCCATGGTGAACGATTGAAAATCCCTGACCGCAAAGCCTTCTACGCAGGATTGTACATGATATAATACTTGGTTTTAGGATTTTTAGAGACGAGACTAAGCTAAGACCTTTACTGACCTTTCATTCAGAGCCGTAAGCAACTAAATTCTTTATCAACAATTTTTCCGCATGCACTTTAAAATTTATGAAGTTATTATCCAAAAAATTCTATCTATCTTATAATCTCACTTTCAAACGAGAATTCAAGAAGTTAAATTGGATTGATTTAGCTCCAGACGACTACTCGCAATTGCTCGCTGCCAAGCGCTAACTACGCTCGCTGCTCCGCATGTTGCTTGGGCCTATTTCAGTACTATGAAACAAACGAACTCTATCAACTTTCATCTTATCGAAGGTTTTTGCCCAGTGATAGCCCTCTTGAGTGCTGTATTGTGACCGTTGGAGCTTTATGTTACTCGGCGTCTCCTTCTTTCCTTGATCCATCAGTTGAATTGGATCAGGTTCATTCTTCTCTGTTATTTGGAAATAACCTGTTAGGCCTGATCATCTTTTTGCATAACCTCTTATCTCGAAGTTCTGCCCTCTTCCCAGAAATTGGTTCGGCAAGTTATGTCGATACATCCGGGTCCCCCAATAGACAGTTGCTTATGTTGAGTAATTAAAGTGCACTCTTGCTGCAAGCAAAAGGCATGAGACAGACTCCTCTTAGAATCTATACTGTATATGATTTGTATACGGTCAAAACAAGCTTGACCCTTTAAAATCCTTAAAACGCTATTTCAGAACTGGACTTGAGCTAATGGATGTTTCATAGTTTTGTTTGTTACTGTTCATGTTCAAAATGTCCTTTGTTTTAGATGTGGCACGCCTTGTGCGTATCAAATGAGTGATTAAATCAAATGTTGTAGAAATTTTGCTTCATGTCCATTATTGAGTTATAGTTTTTATAAAAAGCACCAAGTAACGGATGTCCACCAGATTTCGAAGAGTAACCTTGCCAAACAACTCAGTCCCCAGTTAAATCGCCTTGACTTGCACACCAGTGAAGGACCGAGAAAGAGAGCAGGGTCGAATTACCTTTGTGAAAACTTTTCTGATTACGACAAAATCAAAATGCTGAAAATGCTTACTACAGAAAAAAACTATGACTTTTTAGCAGAATTGTTGTTGTGATGAAGCAATAAAAGTAGCAAAAATGTAGCAAAAATTTGCATTTAAATTGTTTTAGGTTGACATTTTGATAAAGTCTCGCTCTGGTCAGCTACAAGTGATAAACATGGAATAACATTACTGCTGGACAGTCGGCCATCGGAACAACGGTCATATTATGCCTTATGTAAATATTCCAAATAAATTTCTCAGACCAAGCAGATCATTTCCATGTGCTTGTTTCGAAGTACACACGCACTGTTAAGCGATGAGTAACCACTGCTGCTCGAATGCACAGTGAAGATTCTACCTATTGGTTTCTGATAGCAGATTGCCTGTATGGAGACAGCACAAGATTCGGGTTTCGAAGCAACTTTGTGAAGGCTACTATAAGAGAACCAAGCACAAGCGAAAAAAAACAAGTGTTCATAAATTGACGTAATATCTTTGACAAAGTGTCCACCGCTGGGGGGGGGGGGAGGAGAAGCAGTCAGAATGGCGTCAGCTTCGTTGATCACGTACAGCCTAATCGAATCACGAGTGCTTGTATTTGATTTGAGAAACTACTCAATTGAGGGGCGTTTGCCACGCTTATTTGTACTCATCACCTGTATAACCGTTGATCCTTTCTTGAAATAAGCAGGATCCATTCGTCCTTGTCGCGAGCGATCGTTAATCAATGTCTTCTCGTTGCACCGGGTACACGAGAAACGCTCTGAAGAACTGCTTCAAAGGAAGCAGCTAAACTGCAAGAACTGCTTCAAAGAAAGGAATTTTTGTGAACATGTCCGACCATCGAGTCGGCGGTCTTACATTTCCGCAGTTGACACCCAGCGGTGTCCAACTCGTTACAGCTCGGCCCACATTGTTGTCAAAACGCATCCCGTGTTCAGCCCTGATTTTATTCGGCGCATGTGGCAGCATTCCTGATTTTCGATCGGCGGCGTAGGGGGAGCTTCATATTCATTCCCTCACTTACGCGACACTCCTAACATCGCTTTCTCAACAGCGCATTCGATACCGTTCCCCGTATGTTCGTCCTGCTTCCTTGTGGTCCACGTTTCCGAAGCGTACGTCAAAGCAGGAGGCGGAACCGTTGTGTTGAAGAGATGGACGCGAAGACGGGTATTTTTGGACTTCTTCACTACGTCCTCGGTTGCCTTATATGCTACCCATGCTGCTCGTTTCCTCCTGCTCAACTCCGGGAATAGGTCGTCCATCATGTTGAGTTCCCGACTTAGGTGGACGTAGCTAAAGTAATTGGCAATCGTCATCCATTCAGCGTGAAAGAAGCATCAGGGCCCGTAGTAAATTACCGAAATATGTCGTAATTAAAGAAACCGAGAACACGACGTGTCCGACTGAAGGACATGCTGCTGACGACCCTTTTTGTGCGCCGCAAAATTTAGGCGCGCAAGCGCGACTGAATCCTTAGATGATCGTTTACGGCGCGCACTGCCACTGCGCTACTGATATCTGTTGATGAACGAGATCAAAGATAGCGAAGCAGAGATGCGACAGACAAAACAGTACACAAAAGCACGAGCGGATCCGTTGCTCCGATCCTTTGAAAAATGCGTGTCAATCGGATCCACTTGGCTTTTGGCCAATAAAATTGAGCCTATAGCACCACTTTTTGCAAAGTCACGGATATGGTTGACAAGTTAATGTGTAAGCCATGGATCTTAGCCCAAAATTGAACTAAAGTTTATTACTTTCCGAAAACGGCGCCAAAAAGAATTGGTTGCGTAAATTTGCCAATTTATTTCAATTTGCCAAAATTGATTATTTGAGAAGATTTTTGCACAGAGATGAAGCCCACGGTGATTATTGCATCTTATGGCGAATATTAGACCATCAAAAGTCCCAAAACCGACTCAAATTTGCGTTTATTCTTTTGAGAAAAGTTTCGTCTACGCGAAGTTACCGATCTCAAATGGGAAAGCTTTTGAAATGAATAGTTGTTTGCAATTATTCGCAAATCATTCGCGATAGTTCGCATGGCGCGGTGAGTTTCAGCGTCATTATTGTGTGGGAATGAGTAAGGCGTAGAGATAGTGGGATCAGTGCGAGCCTCAGAGCAGAGGTGACGCAATGGCTTCATATAAAAGAATCGTAAGGTACAGAATGAATATTTTGCAAAGAAGTACTTTTCAGCATTCGGCAGTCCTTTGAAGAACGGCTGCGAAAAACCATTATGCGCGCTTGCACGGGTCCTCTAAGTTTTTTGAAGGCTCTCAGATGCATTTACCGGCTGATCATGGGCGAAGGCCGGTTGATGCCGGTCATTCCACCGAGACGGTCCCGGCCGGACGCCAGCTTTTCAGACATTCTACCGGCCGGCGACCGGCTGGCGGAACATCGTATTCCGTCTGAACCTCTCATGCGCATTTCCCGGCCGGTAGCTGTATCATCGCGCGCGGCACTTTGCAATTTTAAGGCTATAAATCAGTTGGCGGCATGTTTTTGCTCCAAATTCGAAGCTCACGAATCCTTCTGCTCTTCCTTGTTTTATGACAAAGCGAACACCGTGGAATCTTCTGGTTTATTTAGCAGACCGAGCACCACTCAGAGCAATAAGAATGATCACAGCCTTGTAATGCTCCTTGTCGTGCTAGTGCCAAAATTGTAGAATAGCCTCAATTCCTCGAATCAATCCACCATCCATAGATGCAGTTGTCGAAATAAATAATAATACAATACAAATACAATGAGAGTAATTATAAATGGAAAAAGATAAGGATACGTTGATCTTTTCCAACGGTAGCCGGATCTTGACGCATGACATTGCACCTAAACCCGTGCGAGCAGAACATTCTTACACGCGCTCGGATGAGCTCGTGTATCCCTCTTGCCGTCAGAAGCGGCATGCCGTAATGCTATAAACATGAGGATCCCACAAAGACTCTGCGTCTCTAACCACGACGAAGAGCGTTCTACTCGTCCTTCAAAATGAGGGGGCTTAGAAAATGCTGGTTTTTGCCATTTTCACGCTCTAAAAAGCGGATTTCCGGAATCAGCGTGTCGAATTACCCCAGGTAAGGGAAAAAACCAAAGGTCGAGGATTTGCCGAGCCACTGCCCTTGAGATGAGCATGGTATCATGACCGAAAAACTGAAAGAGCGTTCGTTACAACGTTGGCGCGTCACGATGCATCAGCCTAAAGTGTCATTTGCTTAGTGTACTAACTTCAGCGAGAAAAAAGGACCACAATTTTCAAAATATGAGATATTCAACAGAACAGAATTATACGGTAGGTAAAGTACAACCTGACCTGTGCACCCGGCTCAGCATAGAAGATGGCAGCAAGTTTCACACTTCAAATACTGGAACTTCTCAATGTAGCAACTGGCATTGACAAAGAGTACCCTTAAATCTAACACATAAATTTTCTTGCAGTAGAATCCATGTTCGACTATCCATAAATCTTGGCATAGTTTGAATCTTCTGATTAGTTTCTTTAGCAGCGTCCAAGATAGGCACAGATATTTATTCCACAATATATAGACTGACGTTTTGGCAAACAATTTCTTCAGAGTCTTAACAGATAATGTTGATGGATTGGACCACTTGAGTGGTCTGCACCCACCAAATCTATTATCTGTTAAGACTAAATAAATATCTGTTAAGACTCAATAAATATCTGTACCAATCTTGGACCTGCTAAAAGAAACTAATCAGAAGTTTCTCGCAATAAAATTGCCTGAGAATAGTCCTTTTACATACAAGATTTTCTCAAAAGAAGAGAAAATGCGGGGCGCCTAGTGGATAAACCCGCCTTACTTTTACAGCGACATGATCACTACGCTTCATATGGTGTCATTCGGAACATGATTTCGCGTCTCCATTACACTCGTGTGGATTGGGGTAGCCGTGAAATACTGTGAAGTGTACGTGTAAAACTTTATTTCCATGAGCAGTTTAGCCGTCCATTTATGATAACGATATTCAGAAGTGCTTCTAACACACGTTAAAAGTAAAACCTGTGCTTTCATTTGGATGGTTATAACTGAACCAGTGCGTCACCTCTGCTTCGCAGAGGTTCGCACTGGCTCTACTATCTATGTGCCTCACTCATTCTCGTAAAATCGTGGCACCGGAACTCACCGTGCTATGCCGACTACCACGAATAAAATGTAAACAACCACTCATTTAGAAAGTCTTTTCACGTGAGATCGGTGATTTCGCGTGGATGAAACTTATCACAGGAAGACAAACGCAAATTTGAATAGGTTTTACTGTCATGACTTGTTAGTCGCCACAAATGTAATGATAACCGTGAGCTACATCTCTGTGCGAAAATCTTCTCAAACGCTTAGCTAGAACCTTGGCAAATTGACCATTTACACAACCAATTTGGTTTGGCGCCGTTTTCGTTATGTAGTAAACTTTCGACCACTTTTCTGGCTAAAGTCCATCGCTTGCACATTTGCCTACCAAACTCATCCAAGACTCTGCAAAAAGTGGTGATACGGACCGAATTTTGCGGTACAGAAGCAGGTGGACCCGTTTGGCGCGCAATTTCTGAGGGATCCACTCAACGAATTTGCTCGTGCTTTTGCATATTGGACTTCTATGCGGGTAGCATGCGCTGTGCAAAATTTGAGCCCATTAGGTTGGCTGGAACACGCTCTACGATTTTCGTAACAGACACACACACAGACAAAGTCACGTAAACACCCTTAGCCCGTTATTATAAGTCACCAGTGCGTCACCTCTGCTTCGCAGAGGCTTGCACTGGCTCTTCTATCTATATGCCATATACTCTTTCCCGCTTAACATAGCATTGAAACATACCTTGTAATGCCCGCCTTCACAAATGAATCGTAAACACCTACTCATTCCGAAAGCTTCTCCGTGTGAGATCGGTATTTCGCGTGGATGAAAACTATTTTTGGGCTAAAGATTATGGCTTGCACATTCACTTGCCAAACATAATCACGACTTTCCAATAAGTGGTAATGCGGACCCAATATTGCGCGCCAGACGTTGAGTGGATCCGTTTGGGGTGCGATTATTGAGGGACCTACGCAACGAATCTGCTCGCGCTTTGACATGGTGAATCTGGACGGTGGCAGTGCTTGTTGTGTGAAAAATTGCAGCTTGAAACCTTGTCTGCGCCTCGTTCTGTGAATTTCGTTACAAACAGACAGACAGACACACCACACACACACACACACACACACACACACACACACACACACACACACACACACACACACACACACACACACACACACACACACACACACACACACACACACACACACACACACACACACACACACACAAAAACACGTAAACACTCTTAGCTCGTTATTATAAGTCATGATGATAGGCGGAAGAATACGTGCGAACTATTTAGACAAATGCGTAATTAACCTTGATCTCACAATCAGGAAAGAAAGATAAATAGCTACTCTGAAAGTGGCCGCACACTTTTGACCAATCTCAACTTTACCAAACTTTATCATAAGACACTTTTTTGTCAGACATAGATTTTCGTAGGCAAAATTTGCGATACCATTCATTTTCAATCGACGGACATGGCACGCGGTATGTGTGTTTGCATGAATTCTCAAGAAACAGACTAGGAATTCAAACGAAAGACCTTAAGATGCCGTATCAACAATTATACTCTCACACGGATGCAGTTCAATTTACAACTTCACTTACATTCCACATATGATGTGTCCCAAAAATGTGAATACTGTTTGATCGTCAATAGCTCTCCGGCTTCAGAATTTTCGCCGGTTTTCAGGTCACCATTTGTTAAAGCTGGATTCATTTAGATTCAAAGTATAGGCCAATTTTCGATCTCTCCTCGTTACTGTAGGATTACGTGAAGAACTGTGAAGAAGGTTTTGAAGGCAGTGTCCAGGCAAATCTGGGCATATGGATTTTTGCCTGGGAAATGTTGAAGAGGTTCTAGCTAAGACACTCCCCAAACCGCAGCGCAAATAATTCATTCCCGGCTGAGAAATGTATCCATAAATACTCCGCAGCTGCGCCGTGACCGTAACACTTAGGATGGGTCCCAGCGCGAACGTAATGTCAAAGTGAGCAAAGTCGTTTTCGGATTACGGTCACGGTGCAGGCGCGGGGTTTTCGGGGACGGCTTTTTCAGCCGCGAATGAACAATTTGTTCCCTTGGGCTGTGCCTTAGTTAAGACCCCCTAAGACCCCCTCATCAAAGATTTGCCTAGTCACTGCCATTAAACCGCATTTTGCTTACACAAACCAAAAACTCTTGTCCTGAACTAATCAAAAATGTATTTTCGAATATGATACCTGCACATCACAGTCATGCTTGTTCCATAAGCTATTCCAGGTGAACCGTAACAACTGCTCTTCCAATGTTCTTCAAAGAAGTGCTTACACTACTCAAAAATTTAGAAAACATGAAAATTGTGAAATGAAATCAGCATACGTGAAACACCGCTACACAATTTTTCCACATTTTCTGAAATTTTTGTAGTCAGCCTATTTCACATCCGCTGTATGCTAAAAGATCATAACGTGATTTGACAACAACAAAAAGAGTCGGACATTCGCTTTATATACAAATCCAAGTTGAAGCCAATTCTACTAAATGATACTTAAGGATCGGCAAAAGAATTGAAGCAGGAGAGTTATGAGCGTTTGAAAGTGTGAATTTTGTTGAGACACCCTGTAGCAGACAAATTTGCTTTACAGGTATTGGTTTAATCTAAACACCACAGCATAATTTGATGAGCCGAGCTGTTGCAGATGCAACCAGTCACATCCATGCTAGTCAAGTTAGCAAGGAAAGGAGGGTTGATCGAAGTGGCCCTTCAAGTTGAAATGTACGATTCCATATCTACCTTCGATATCTGCTGCGGGCCTCTGGGCGAGAAGTTATGAAGGTTTTGTGGGTAAAATTTTGAATGCAAGATTAGCGTAAAATCGGTCGTAAAACTTTCAACTTCAAATGAGGCAGCAGCCGTGTTGGTATAGTTGAATCAAGAATCGAGTGACCCGACTAACGTTTAGCCTTAGAAAAATGTTGCAAGTAATTTTATACTAATCTTGCATTTGATTTTTTACTCACAAAATCCTTTATAACTCTTTGCCCAGAAGTCCGCAGCAGATAGCGAAGAAGAACTGGAATCAGCGTTGCAAGTTCTACAAGACTGTTTACATCTCATCCTGAATGGACACTTCGACCAGCCTTCCTTGCAAGACTGAGCATCAATAGTCGAGTGTGGTCTTTTACGTTGTGTTGCAAAAGAATATAGACCATCTGTTTTTGTGATCAGCTAAATTCACGGAAGTGTCCCTATTTAGCTTTGCTAAACTATAGCTGCGGCAACATTGCCCAGTTACCCCGAAATGTAAATGAAAGACAGAAATAAAGAGCTCCGTCACCATTGCACGAACGAAGCGTCACTGTCGCAGGCTACTGAGCTACACGTCAAGCGCACAAGTGCCACGTACATAAAACAGCTTCAATGCAGATTAGAAAGACGATTAAATTAGAAAAAACACTTGTTATGAAATACAAATTTTAAGATATTCAAGAGCCTTCGACATGGAAATAGCTTGCAAAACATAAAAATTCTGAGATTTTACAAGAAATATGAAAAGAAACAAAAAATAGTACTAATTTGACATATGCAGTCATGTGCAGCTGCGGTCGCATTAGCTTCACACCAAATGATTCTTTACTCAGATAGAAAGAAAAGGCCAGTGCACAGCCAATGAAGGACAAAAAATCATGATAACAACATACAACAAGCAGCGACTAAGGCAGGCAAAAGAAATTTGTGGGAGACTGACCTGCGACTTATGCAGCAAAATAAAAAATTCCTGAAAGGCAGAAAAGTCAGCTAAGCAGGATTCTAGGATGCACGGTAATAAAAAAAAGAACTTGTATATTTTGGTTTGAAAGCATAACACAGCAGAATAACGCTTTGAAATAATTAAAAGCTGCCTAGCGCGTCGCCAGTTGCGGTGATCAGCTGCTGACATCAATTGCACTTGGCGTGTCTTAAACCTAGTAATGTGTGCCTACGATCCTTGCGCACAGGAGGAACTCGGCATACTCGATCCCTAGTTTGGTTGCGCTTCTCTGCGTTAGGCAGGACTCACTATTTCTCTTTGTCTGCTTAATAATGACGACGTTCAGGACGTGCTCGTCCTAAGCGTACGAGGGCGAGCACGTCCTGAACGCACTACACTCGCTGTCCGTTGATTTCGCCCTCGGCCGTGATAAGAGGTAGCCGCCGGACGAATCGCGGCCGAAATAACGCGTACTGATTACGTACGATGTTTCGAACGTCGCGACCATCAGGACGGGAGACTACCATGGGTCTCCAACCTCGCCGAAAATTGCAAACATGAAATTCTATCCGTTGGCCCGTTTAGAGAGCTTGATTTCCTACGATGTAGCGATGCCACGGACAGCATATCGTCCTTGAAAAGCTTATGAGTCTTTATCAAGCTGTGGAAGACCGGGCAAATTGAAGTGTCTAGAGTGTCAGGATATGAGGACCTTCATAATCCAGATAGAGAAAGGAGTAGAAAGATAGGTACTTTTTCGTTATCCGGACTCATTTTTTAAAAAGGACATTGCTTCTTCCCTCAAACCATCCCAATTTTACAGGAAGGAGTGTCCATTTCCCTGCCACGTTTTATGAAAATAAACATGTAAATGTTTACGGTTTAATAAAAGTTTGAGTCGTCCTGCCTAGTGACCTAAGTTCAATCTGTTATTTAGTCAATAGTGGCTCCATTTGTGATTGACCAGCATCAGAAATGAGATGAGCGTTGTTATCATGATAACGTCAATCTGTTATTAAGCTTGGGTCCCATTATCTAACAAGGGAATGGTCAGAAGTCAAAGTGGCCAAACCAAACAAGCTGCATACCATTCAATGCAGTATGAAACGCTGATTTTCTGCCTTTTCTATCTGCTCATCTCTTCTGTGGACAAAGCTACAAGCAGTTTTATTGTGGAAAAATCGTACCTAAAACTGTGAAAATGAGCACATTGTTGCAATTTCAGCCCATCTTTAGGCTTTGAGAATTTGGAATAAGTTAGCTGCATGTTTTGACCCAGCATTAAGCCGAACGTGGCTCTGTACGGCCATATTTTCACTTTCACGCATTATTTCTTAGAAACATATATCGGTCTTTGATGGCTTATAGCTTCGTCCACAAAAGCGATAAGCAGAAAAGAAGGCAGATCTAGAGTCAGCGCTTCAAGCTGCATCTAATGGTATGCAGCTTGTCTGGATTAGCCACTTCGATATCTGACCATTCCCTTGTAAGTGGCAAAACAAGCAGTAACAACTTCATATATGAAACAGTTAATTCGGCCTAACTTTTGGCAAGAACGCCTTCCAGAGGCCTAAAAGTAAAACAGTCATTTGATTTGTGTGGCATAGAAAACGACAACATACATTCTGAAACAATGTTCCAATTTATGAGCAGAGAATGTATAAAATGAAATGAAGAAATGTGTGAAATATTGTAAAAACTTCCTTGTTAAGCGTTGCGAAGTAGCTGGTACTGTATTTGCATGGATGACTAGCTCCTCCAATTGTTGGAGTCATTTCGTGAAATTTTGATTTGATGGTATTTCTAACTGTGCACTTCCACGTAATGCGACAGAATTTTGTGGTGTCCTTTTGTCTGATAGGACGAGAATATCGCAGCTAACGAATGACTCGGCCATACTTTCAAGAATCTCTTGTATGAAGAACACGGGAGGCAAGTAGTTGAGGTTTTAAGAAGTGGACTTTGTCCTCTCTGTTTTTCCTTGCAACTTAGTGTATTTGCGCGGTCCTAAGATAAATTGTAAAACACTGTGCAGATAGCTGCGCTATATTGCACCGCATTGATTTTGTTGGATTTAATGTTTTAGACATGAGAGAAAAAAAGCATGGCTCTTCATTTATCATAGTACTAGATATGAGAGACAAAATACCACTACATGGACTTACCATTTTAGCGTCGGACAACGATTATCCCAAGAAGGGTGGCGGTCATAGCAGCTCAACCTATCCCGGAGGAAGAAAAACTAGCACGGTATGACAATCATGCAGCATCTTTGAATCTTTGCACATCTTCAAGACGTATTATAACGGAGATCAATGTTTGTATAGTACGAATGCAATCAATTCCGCTGAATTCGTTAGAGATTGAATTTGCAGCGAGCGAGAGGTAACCATTGCACGATGAGAATTGGAGAAAAATTAGGTAAATCACCATCTTGAACGACTCGCATAGGTAGGCCACATTTCGCCGGAAAGGGGAGTCGCCCTGCACGGACATCTCCAACAATTACGCACATCTTCGGAGACAGTATCACCTACGCTGGTCGCCCTGGAAGATTTTTTGCTACTTAGCACGACCTGTGACAAATGTTGAGCTGAGTTTTGAAAAATAAAGCAAAAAGGAAATTTTATGTAAAGATCACACGACTCCTTCCGCAAAAACCGGACGACTACGCTCCAACATGATTGAGGTACTCAGACACAGCTTTGCTCAACACGCAAAGTTCGGCAATCAAAACCCTTACTAGTAGTAATCAACCGATACATGTCTAAGGCGAAGTGGTGGCGATATGCTGAGTGTGCGAGCTGAAAAGGACTAGCAGGAATAAGATATGAGGGAGAAAAACTATGGAACTTAAGGGTGCAAGCAGTGAGTCTCGCTTGCAACAACATCACAACTGGTTTGCACACGTGCAATGGGAATTAAAAGCAAGTGAAAGCTCTAGGAATAACATTCGATTCGAAACATGCACTTAACCATATTGGGGTTGCGGTATTCTCCAATGTAAATGTGAAGAATGGGGAAGATTTGGTGTCACAACTTTTGCTGCCCTTTCTGCAAGTGCTCGACATGTCATGAAATTTGGGTTTTGAATTTTGAAATATGAGGCGGAACTTTCAAGCTGCATTGCAGTTCGAAACCTTTAAGCACTACTGTGTAGCTGGCACTCAAAAAGAGTCTTGAAATCAGTGTCTTAAAGAAAAAATAATCTTCCATAAATTACGTTTGCTATCGTGTGCCGGGCTTGCACTTAAATTGTAATATATCGAGCTATTTGGTTGGTGGTAATAAGTGCAATCCACAGCGAATATTTTTAAACCGCTGCACCTTCATGTTTAACGGGAAAGATACTTAGTGATCGTGGGCTTTTGAGATGTAACGTACACCACTGGATGCATCTTCGAGCGCTGATTTCGAATCTGTCTTCGGTATCTGCTGCGCGCTCCTCCAAAAAAAGTTATGAACATTTCTTGCCAGCAAAATTTGCACTGCTTTGAAGACAGAATTCATCACTGTCGTTTGAATGGCCATGCACTGCAAAACTACGTTCAAATGAAATAAAGCTTTAGTCAAGTTCGGAAAAAATGTCTCCAATAAATACGAGCCTAGAAAGGCTGGATACTGACGATTTTGACTGCCTAGATCTATGAAATTAATGAAAAAGTCCATAACTTTGTTCAGAGAATAGCACAGCAAATAATGGGCATAAATATGGAATCAGCGTCCAAGGCGCATCTACGGTATGCATCTCTTTGCAAAAGGCCACGGTCACCAAGTATCCTTCCTTAAGTATGTTATTTGCCGATTCCGTGACACTGTCCTTGCGATGCACTCTAATCAAAAGAAAAATAGAATTTGCTCGCTGTCATCAGTTCTCCTAGTTGGGTGTAAATCGTGTAATGTGATTGTAATTGTGTGTAATGTAAATGTGGTTGTAAGTCTCCCTATGAAAGTACCACCTATACACACTGCACACATGTTTGATACTTGGAGAGGTAGTAATCTTTACTACAATGACATTGTAGAACCGAAAGGTTAGCACAACTCGCTGGACGATGCCGATTAGGCGAAGCGAGCGTGAACCTGCATGCACCGAGCATGAACGTGCTGACTGATATCGCACTTTTAAGCCATCAAAGGCAGCGTCCCGCCAGATTGGGGGGCATTTGGCTCTAGTATTAATGTAATAGTAGACCCCCTAACTAAGCGACGACAGAAATTTGCAGAGCGAAAAAGAGCACTACTCCTTTTTGGCCACTTTAAAAAATCTCGCCTCAAAAGACCTCCTAAGTTTGGAATTAAAAGGCAACTAAAATCTTGTTCTATTTTTCACTTTTAATAGCTGTGTTTCACCAGGATATTTCCCAGAGCTAAGAAGACGAATCAGGCTCAAATCACTCTTATGAAATCTACGAGGCCTAGGCTATCGATTCATATTAATAACGTTTGCAAAAAATGGTTTTTTTTGATAGAGTTAATGGGGTGTGGTATCACTCCTAAAAAGCTGTGGCTGCCACAGTTTTATAGAAGTGGGGTGACACCCCATTAACTTACCTTCAAACAGATCAAATGCTACGTTTTTTACATCGTTGTTACTGCTTAACCTTCTTCTTTACATAGCAGCAATTTCATATGAAAACGTTTCTTAAAGAGCAAGATATAGTCGTTTTTCCTTACCTATGCAAATGTAAAATAGGTAAAATACTGCGAAAATATTGGGATACGATAACATGCTAAGCCTGCGCTACCAGTAAATCGCAAGGGAAGGCGACAAGATACATTCGATAGCCTAAGCCTCGTAACCTACATTAAAGTGTTTTGAGCCTGATTGGTCTTCTTTAGTCTGAGATATTGAAAACGAAAAATATTGGCTTGTTTCTAATTCCTTGATCCGGAAATCATTTGAAGTAGGATTCCTAAAATGAGCAAAATAGATAGTACTCTTTGTGCTAAGCGCAAAAAGAAGTAGTTAACTTACCTTTGAAACGAAGGTAACATGTTTGAAAATGACTATCTCATGGATGGCCCAATATTTGGAAACCTCAGAATTCGCTGAAACTTGGACCACAGGGGTTATTTTACTTGCTAATTACGAAACGATGCTAATATGCTTTATAGATCTCTAACCAGTGCGTCACCTCCGCTTTGCGGAGGTTCGCACTGGCTCTCCTGTACGTATGCCTTTCTCATGTTCGCATAAAGATGACTTCAAAACTTACCACGCGATATCGAACATCACAAATAAATTGTAAACAGCTGTTCATTCTTGAAGCATCTTCACGTAAGATCGGTAATTTTGAGGAAGAAAACTTTTTCGCAAAGGAACACCTGCGAATTTGAATAGATTACTGAGTTTGTTTTGGTTGGTAGTCGTCATAAGGGTAATAGTCACTTTGAGCTATATTTTCGTGTAAAAACTTTCAAATTTTTAGGTAAAACCTTGCTTAATCGAGTATTGACGCGATCACACTTTTTGGCGCTGTTCTCGCAGAAAGGCAAACTTTTTGAACATTTTTGTTCTAGAATTCATGGAACGCAGATTTACTTGTTAGGCAAATCATGGCTTTCCGAAAAATCCGATCTAAACTCTTAGATTTGCTGGATTAAAGCCGTGTGGATCCGTTTGACGCAAAATTTTTGTAGCACAACCCAACGGATCCCCACGAAATTTTGCATGATGAGCCCAGTTGTTGCAAGGTGCCATGACCAAATTTTTAGCTCAAGACATTTGCTGCAACTCGCTCTATGAATTTCGTGACAGACAGACGTACACACAGACACACAGACAAACAGACGTAAACAACCCTTAGCGCGTTATTATTAAGTCATAGATTATTCTTACTGTATGCATGCGATAATGGGTCAAACATCAATGTGCCAGTATTATGACGGGCCTATTTGACATTGTTAACGAATATCACGTCATGCGAACAGCGGGCGCCTTGAAAACGACCTCCCCCCTCCCTGATTCCTCAATACGACCCCCCCCCCCCCCAATCAGATGTAGCATGCCACACCCACGCTTGACCCTGGTCATGAGCAGTCTCAGTGCGAGAAAATTTTGAAAAATTGCAAATTTGAGCACATTGTTGCATTTTCACCTTTTGGCTTTGAAAATATAGAATAACCAAGTTGCAAATTTTCCTCAACATTACACCAAACATGACTCTGCTGTGCCAAATTTCTGCTTTGTGCACCAGTTCTTAGCAATATAAAGGCCTTTAACGGCTCATCTTCGTCCACATACGCGCTAAGCAGATAAAGAATACCAGTTTGAATTAGCTTTTCATGCTGCATTTGATGGTATGCAGCTTATTTGGATCGACAACTTCGATTTTTGACATCCCTTTCAAGCACATTGCGAACAATATCGGCAAAATCGTAAGAAATTGAACGGGCGTGACCAACAGCGGTAAATTTTGGTTTTGGAACGGCTACTCGACGCAGTCAACGGAACAAAAGTTCACAACAAGATTTTGGGAGATGAAAGCTAAGAATATACTGCTTTATACGCAAGAATAGTGCATTTTCTTCTAGACATCAAATGAGTTTGGAAAGACGAAAAGTGCCAAAATTAAGCATTTTACAAATTAGAAGTTTTGAAGTGTGCCGGCACACATGTTAACTATGTTTCCTAACCTGCCCGCTGCGTCGAAGCAAATTCTCGAAAATGATGAGAAAATTAGAGCAAGGCTGCCCGCAACACCTCGTGAATATCTTATTACTATCTAAAGGGGTTTCTGTTCTTCAGCTACCAGCATTTGCACTTCAATAGTCGTAATAGCCACCCTCGTGAGATTTTCTCGCGAAAACGGTGTCAAGGGCATCAAAGCGAGACTGACGTTTTCACCGCCCTCACGTCGAACTCATGCCGGGCTCTTTGTTTTATACCAAGCTGGTACCACTACGTTATATAACTGTGTATTATGTAGTAGCGCAGCTGCTAACTATCAACAGTGAACATACGGAACAATCGCTGACGATAGTGGTAATATATCGAACCAACACCAGAACTGAGTTTCAGGTCCTTTTATGCCACTATTTTGGGCGTGGATAACCTAAATGCTCACTTCTGGTAAACAACAGTATCATGAAAGTAGGCGCCGCCAAGTAGACTATCAAACACAGTAGAGGGTTGACCTGGCGGCTTAAGTGGTCAGTGAACAGGAATGTTTGTCAACGACAAGCTAATAGATACTGAATCAAGCATACAATATGACTCTACAATGAAACAGGTCGTAAATTCGCAAACAATCTGCGACAGGCTCAGAGCAGAACTGTCACAACGTATGAGGATTACTACAATCCTTGATATCTTCGCTCATACAAATAATGCTTCCGAACAAATGCAATCTACATCCAACAAATTTAGTCCGGTTATCCCGAAGGAGCTTCAGATGGTGGAGATTATAAGAAGACCAGCCATGTTTCAAAAAGTATGGGTAGTAGCAGGGATATAAGAAGGTACAGATATCAAAATTGTTCTTTACCGTTGAGTACTGCTGCAGAAGTATACGGATTGGGTTGAAAATCTTGGTTTTCATTGAAGTTGTTGTAGTCATCGCCCTCATATCAGCAATCTATACGATGGCAGTGAAGGATGTTATTGCACCCGTCAGTTCAATCATAAGTGACTTGGGCCTCTATGCACGTACATCCTCGCAGGGGAGAGGAACTGTCTAACAAGGGAAGTTCGCTCAGTTGAAGTGGCGATTCGGAGGGTGATCTATACCCATGGATAGAGCTTAAAACGCTGATCTCAGACATACCTTCTATTAGGTTGTAAAGGAAGTTCTCTTCTCGGGCACTTTTGAAAATTTCATTTTCAAACGCATTTTTTCGGCGCTCGGTCGGACTTTAACACCAAGTTTTTTTATACTGTTCAGTAGAGGGTAGCCTATAGTTTTCAATACGACTTCTGGTTTTTATCAGTGCCAAGACGTGTTTGATCTGCACATCAAAAAAGAAAATCTTTCTAACCACAAAAATTTCACAATTTTTCTTCCTAAAGCCATTTTTGCGCAATTCAAAGAGTTTCTTTCACTGATTTGTTCAGTTGCACAAGATTGGTAAAGGTTGGTATATTTCTTTATTTGACCGACGTTTCGGCTGTATCGCCTTCTTCGAGGTCTGAAAAAGTCGTGACCATGTAAACTATCCAGTTAGCAACTTCGTCACGATCAAGCAAATTGTCCAACCTATTAGCGAACCAAAAGAGTACACATAAAATTTCAAAGAGTTTCGTCCAAAGCATGGGTGGTCTGATTTAGAAGCCTGTGAACATCTGAGCCGCAGCTGCACTCAAGTTTTGCTATTTGCGCTCAGAAATTACAGGCTGTTGAACTTGCCTCTGACTGCAACTCTTTTTGCAGCTGGCGTCTTCGGCGGTTTCGCCACGGATGGTGGGTCCAAAAGATGTGCAAGGCCCTACTCCAACAATGTTTGCAATAATCAAAGATTTGGGCCACCCTATACAGAACGACAAGACTTCGAAGTCATTTACTCGGAAAATGGTGCATTTTTAGGGACTTCCAGACTACAGTTTCGAATGATTTTGAAGCCGCGCGTTCAAACTTTTGCTTCAAAAACCCACTACTTCCCTCTCAAAGGGGCTTTGCAGATTTTAATAGCAGATTCAATACCAGCGTTTCATGTTTCATAAGATATACATTTTATATAGAACCGCCACTTCCATCAAGTATCCTTCCCTTGTCAATTCCCCTTCCTCAACGGGGATGTAGGTGCATACGGGCCTTAGGCTGCGTTCATACTGTTCCCGAACTTCCGGATCAGTATGAATGCCTTAGTGATGCATGCTATGCTGCATTAATAGTTAAGGTTGTGGAATGGCCATTGGAACCTGTTCCCGGAACGGGAGAGTTTGACGAGTTTGCAGTATCATCGTCATCTGAACTTTGCAGTGAATTTGCCAGGTTTTTTTTGTTGCAGATTTGCTCCTCAACCTTTTAACACAAGCCATCCGAATTGACAAAATCGTAGCGATAGTGGGTCATGAAAATTGGATGTTGAAAAGACTTTCCGAGTGATGCGTATTGGCATTCAAAAATTTGGAAATTATCCCATATAATATCATTATATTGGGTTGTTTCAAAAGTTCTACCCGTTTTCGAACTTTGATTTTGACTCGCCGTAACTTTCTTCAGAAATAATCTTTGCAATTGTTATAAACTGTATTACAATCTGCAAATCTTTGGCTATTCTGCGCCTTCATTGTGGAAACCTTCACTTTGCAAAAGCATAACTTGATTTGGAATATAGATGAATTGCACAAGTACTGCTCACAGTGTCGACTGAGCAGAACCGCTAACTTTGGATTTCATCAAGCTCTTTTATAAAAAATTTGTGCTGAAAAATCCTAAAGGACCCACTTATTTTGCTCTTTCTGAGGCGGCAAAAAATGCAATTTTTTGACTTTTTTGATTTTGTTCGCCGTTGACAAAAAATCTTTTCGATTTTCTAGTAGCAGTTTTTCTAGCTCTAATCTTACTATATAGAGTACGAGCTGGCAAACCGGGCTCCGCCCGGTCCTGTCAATAATGTATTCGAATCAGCAGGTTCACTTACCCCCTCTATACCCTACACACCCTGCACACCCTGCACAAAACGCCAACCTGCACAATCTGCACAACCTTCACCCTAATGTGCACACACAAACTTACAGATTTTCTTCTTTGTATTAGGTTGGTTCATAATTAATGCACGTTTTCTCAACTTCCACTTTAAATGAAGATAATTCTTTTCCAAAACAGTCTTTCTGAGCGCAACAAAAACCATTATAGACAGCAAACCTTTAGCTATACAACGTATACTTTTGTATGATTGCACTAATCACGGATTACGGCTCAAAATTTATCAAGAATCTTTTCTGGAAAGCTCTAGTTTGAAGGAGCATAACTTACTCTCAAAAGAACTAGATTGGAGCAAACTTTGCTCATTGTGTAGCCGATGGTCGATCCAGTAGTAGCGTGAAACTTGGCTTTTACCAAAAATTTTCTGCGGAAAAAAATATTGCCAAGAAAGCAAAAGTACCATTTTCTCCTGCATTTTAGGCAAGGCAAAATCTGTATTTTTTGGAATCCTTCAATTTTTCTCATTTCAAAAACGAGAAAATTCTGACATTTTCCTATTATTAGTAGTCCTTCGTCTACTCTATCAAAACCAAGTGAAAGTTCTGTAATTGCTTCTCATGTAAGCATTTTATAAAGCTCCCAGTGATCTCAGCATTCAGCTAAGTTTGAGTCAAAGCTTCTCGGCTCAGGATTTCTGAAAAATTTAGGCTTGGTGAGTATTTTGTAAGACAAATCTTCGCAATTATAACACATATTTTTTGAAACAAATTTGAGCATTTTTCATGGAATTAGGGCAAGTCGAATAAAAGGAAGATTTTCCAAGTTTGAGTTCCTCACCTTCAAAGACACGGAGCTTCGGTCTGAACAAGGATCTCCAAAAACGAAAGTGTATGTTTGAAAGTAGAAGAAACGAGTTTTCCGATAGTGTAGATGATTTTAGAGAAAAACGATTTTTGATCGAAAACTAGCGTTTGAAAGAAGAGGTAGGAAAAACGTGCATTAATTATGAACCAACCTAATATATATAGAGAAAAGCTCCACGATTGCAATATGTTTATGATTTTTATGCCACTTGAAGGGACCATAAAGACGGGTTATGATTGAGCTAAAAATTTGTGGGTTCAAAATTTTTCTGAAATCATATCTCAATGAGCGTTTCGTAGCACAAGTCTTCAGCAAACATTATGTATGTTTTAAAAGAAATTTTTTCTTTTGGCTGTATTTCACGGCGATAGAACAAAGACGAACATTTCCATATTTTTTCCCTGTCTTTTCAAAGTACGCAACTACACAGCGAAGAAAGATTCATGAAAACGAAAATCTGTTTGAAAAACTAGAAGAAAAGAGCTTTTGAAAGACATAAGCATTGTTTATGAAAAATGGTTTCTTCCTCCAAAAGGCAGTACAAAAAAGGTATCGAAAACGGATAGAACTTTCGAAACAACCCAATACATATATCGAGTTTCCGAAAAAAAGTCTTGAAAACTAGGACACGAAATAAGCTGATTCACCTACTGCAGGTTAACTATTACCGAGACAGAGAAACTAGACATGACACAGAAAAAAAGAAAAAATGTTTCACCTTCCTTATCTGGTGTAGTATAGTAGTGTAGTATTTACGTATCTATTATGGATGGGAAATTGTGGTTCTTAAATATAGACGAAGCTTCTTTTAAATATTTGGTCTTCATGCGAGTTATCTAGGAGTATGTATGTGGAAGGATATCGAAGCACCCTTATAGCCGCTATGCTGCAGCTTTGTCTCTCCCTACAGCAACCTGACCGAAGTGGAGAACTTGGAGCGTCGGTAGTCGTTCATTACAGGTCGTTGTTCTTTATCTTATCCCACGTTAGGTGAAAAAAAACTGAATTCTGACGGTACACCCTCAAAAGACGGAGTGCTTGTTCAGTACGCCAATAAGCGTTTGGTTTTGAAACATGACAGCTACTTAGTCATCTGCACACAACTCGAAGCGTAAATGTGAGAGTCTCAGCGTTGGAAACTGTACCGCATTTGCTTTTTTTCAATGAGATTGACTTATCAGCTGAGCTATATAAAACATCAGTTTTTCTCGTGCTGTATTCTTTGCTAAATAGTCGTAAATATATGCTGTTTGTACATATTCAAAATCGATAATCAATCAATAGCCATTTCATAGGTTTTAGGTCTCTCCTGGGTTGTTGAGGGGCACATATCAGCAGTTTTACAGAATTGCTTCAACAGTTTTGGACAAGTGCTGCATATGTATCACCGATTTTGGAAAGATCTGTTTTCTACAATCAATTTCCATCCCATATGAAAATGCCATCGTATAGACACAAGACTACTGTTCAAGATTCTTTTCTGGTTCTGCGCCAGCTTATTTTGTTTGGGCCGAGGAGCGGCAAACAGTAAACGATTGCATAGACGGAATCCTCAAGCGGTTCTTTCCCGGCTAGTGAAGGATCCCGAATCACAGTGGCGATTTGGAATAAAATGCAAACCATTAGATGCGCCTTGTTGAGCTGAATCCAAACTAACTTCCTTATCCGCTGCGGACTTATTTTGAAACAAGTTTCGAGCGTTTGAAAGTTCATAATAAGAAACGTTCAGTGGCATTTCCTCGAGAAATAGAAAGTCTTTTAAAAACACTTACCTATGTCTTTCTTATGTTTCTGGTGCATTCCTTGCAGTCAGCCCACTTAACATTTTGTTGCACGGCTATTTCGCGGTTTGAAAGGAGTTAAGGAAGTACAGAAAGCTTATCAAGTAAAATCTATGTTTATCGCTTAATCATTTTCTCTTTTCTTAACTAAACGAAACACATTCGTGGTCTTTATGTTTAATATTCAATTCTTGAAAGAAAACGTCCCGATCCCTTTCGAGAATTTTATCTTTTAAGGAAAGGATATCTTACAAGGAAAGGAAAGGATATATTATACAAGGAAAAGATCTCAAATCGTAGCGGCGAACTGAAATGCAATGCAAATCATTGAATGCGTCCTGATGAGCTCTCCGAAACTACCTACCGTATCTGCTGCGACAATTTCTTGAAAGAAGTTATGAGCTGTTAATGTGAAAACACTGATGTTCTACTGCAAATTGTGCATTGAAACCAGCTTGGGAGAGAATAGTTGGCAATGTTGAGTGCAATGACTACGAAGAATGCAAAAATCAACCAGAAACATAAAGAAGTGCTTTTGAACAACTAATTCTTGAAAAGGTTCCACTAAACGTCTGCCATGTTTGGACCTTCAGGCCTTCATAACTTTTTCCAGAATCCGGAACAAACACGTCGATTTGAATTTAGCTTAGTAAGACGCATCTAATTATATTCATTTTGTTCCAGATACTTAATGCGATTTAGGTTCTTTCTAATTAGAAAGGGACTAAGGAAGTGCGCGCATCGATTGAAACTAGAACAGCAAAGGCATCTGTGATTACACATGTCTGACACAGAGTCCCCATTGGCCAAATAGAATAGTTCTTTGCGCATGAATTAATGAAAAGCTATTACTTACATACAAAGCGATGGCGGAATGAGGAAAAGATAAGATACGCTCTTCCTCCCTCAAGAATCGGAATTAGGCTTGTAAAAAAGTTTGCAGGGCATGCCGCCACGCTCCTTGTTTCTGAAGGTTTGAGGTTTTTGGAAAGCATCTCAACAAATTTTCGGCCGCGCATTTCTTCGAAATTTTTTTGTCGACGGAAATCCCGTGGCTCCCCTTAATACAGAGAATTCAGCGCTGCAAGTTATGATGCAATGCATTTGTTTTTGGAATATGTCAATGCTACTTTTAAGCACACCCTTTTAGTTACACTTTAATGAACAAGTACTGATTCACAGTAGAGTGGTTACCTGATAATTGCTTCGGACACAGTTTGTAACTGTTTTTCAGATCACAACTGTACAACTAGCTGATCAATGAGAATCGTTTCAGCCCTGATAAGAAATGTAGGTATACGAGAGGGATGTCGCAAATGCCAGGAAGACCGGATCTAGTTTCTCATGCATCAATGGCTCTAAGCGGTGATCCGTACGCAGATTCAAAAGGTGACAATCCTAAAATATCGAGACGCTCTAAAGAGGATTTTGCAGGTCCATATTCTGAACTCTTACCCTTAGATTTGATAACAACTTTGGGGCTTCTGGAAAATGCGACAGCACAGGAGCTCGAAGAGCTTGCAATTCTGATAAAAGCTGAACACGGAGACAAAATCATTGCTTTGACTATCAGTAAAGTGAATCCGGTGGATTGGTTGCACATTATGGAGTGAGTGTGATCTGAAACAGAATTTTTTTAAGGACTAGTTTGCGAGTCCACATTTCAGCTGAGGTTAATTCGTTAATCGCATATAACTTGACTTGCGCAAATTAATGCACCAAGAATTGACAGCATTCTGCGATATTAATCGTCATTGGTATAAGCGCCCATATTGTAAGCGCATCGAGTTGTTCACTGTTAGTCAGCTGCAACATGCACTGACCGTCAGGTTGTACGAAATTCACTTTTGAGGAACAACTTTTCAAAAACTCTAAGGCTCAAGAGACGAGATAGGTCAGTGCATGTATACTCCTCAGCGCTCAGTAATCGCTAATATCGGTAGCAACTGGCGATCCCCAATATCGGCGAAAAAAATCGCCAATTTTACCCGGTGCATTGATGCGTATCGATCGAAGAGGTGCTATGCTCCTCAAGGAATATAACGCCGCCATGCGTACAGTCGAGTAATTTTCTGCTTACTATAGTGCTTGCACAGGTGAAATGCGGTTAAATTTGCGCGTGAATAGATATAGGGGCCTGCAGGATCGCGAGAGTCGGACGTGCGTACGGCCAATGCGCCGCGCACGTCAGATGTGCGTCCGACGATCAGGTAGGTGCCAGACTCACCCTGTTGAACAGGTTCATTCGGTTCACCGCCTTTGTTGTTGGACAGTGTAGTAATTTGACCTGTGAACCGAACGAAACGGCTGAATCGGATAAGTTTGGCACTTGCCTTAGTGACATCGGACGTGCGCGGCGCATTGGCCGTACGTACGTCCGACTCTCGCGATCCTGCAGGCCCCTATAGTCACGCCAGTACTGCCGGCATTTGGCGCGCAATTGGCCGGCGTCACAGTCGAAGCTATTTGTTCACGCGCAACTTTTATCACATTTCACCTTCTGTGCAAGCACTCTATATTAAACGGAAAATCTACTCGACTGTAGTTCTGAAAGGAAATGACGACTGAACAAAAGCTTCAAAAACCGGACTTTCAGGAAAAACTAACCGAAGGAGATTCCCAGAACTATTGTCCATTGCGCAAGGTCCTATTTCAATGAGGTTATCCTCGCCGTATATAAAGTATCAAAGATGTCCAGTTTTGAGATCACGCTCCCTTTGGAATCAATGTGATTCCAGAGGGAGCGTCGCGCAGATTTTTGACCTCATTTTTTGCCTTATCCAGGCCTTTTCATTATGAGAATTCCAAATGGAATTCAAAGTGGGTGCATTTTTCAAAAAACCCCTTTTCGAACCATTTTGTCGGAGTTGTGAACAAGTACGCCTTTTTTTTTTCCTTACAATTCAAACACTATGCTTTCAACTGTGCTCGCCTTGTGAAAACATGTCAGTGTAGGGCGACTTCGCTGGGGAGGTTGGCTCGCGAGGTAGGCGAGATTTTCAAGGCTCTGTCAAGTTTGCGCGATAGTTCCAGATCGAGACCTTAGCTTGATTGTGACAGTAGTCGAAATTGTTTAATCTGCAGTAACTCTTGAAAATTCTCTAAAAATTCAAGTTAGCCTTGTAGAAAGATTTTTTGATGGTCTGGCCGCTTTTTAAGGAACACCCCGAAAGTTTCGAAGTGCGTGGCTGACGCCATACAGCTTCATTTTGAAAAAAAATTGCCTCTCCCACCTCCCCCGGGAGGAAATCCTGGGACCGCCACGATTTTTAAGGTATTGGTAGATCCCTTTCTGAGCTGTTGATTACGGGAATGATATTGATAAATTGAGATTAAGTTTGTACCATAGCTTGCTAATAAGTTGGGAACTACTATTTAAATATATTAGTTCCCTTCTAGGGGCTACAGCAACGCAGATACACCATCGCGCTCTAAACTTATTGGAAAACCATAAAAAGTCCACGAGGCTGTTTTTGATGAACTTATTTTTCCTTATAAACAAAAAGCTCACAAATAGCTCAATTCATAAGGGTTAATTCGACTGCACGGTTCTTACTTATACTGATAGACACGTAGATGGTCTACACTGAGTAGGCTCCGCGGGCTTGGCCTACACCGACATTCACTACACCGGCATGCGCTGCCAGTGCGTATGTCGGTGTAGTGATGTGACGATTATAACTCACAAGCGAAGGAAGATTTGTCGAAGAGGTCTTTTGAGATGAGATGTGCACTTTGCGGTAGAGCTTGGAAGATAATTCCAGATTGCCTTTGCTATCTGCTGCCAGCTTCTGTTCGAGGAGTTATGAAGATTTTTGAGTAAAAAGTCAAATGCAAGATTAGTCTAACATCAGTCGCGACCTTTTCTTAATGTTTAAATGAGGCAGCGGCGAGTTGGTACAAACCAAGAATATTTAAGCACCGAGTGACTCGACTATCGATTGAGCCCTGGAAATAATGTTACGGCTAATTTTACATTGATTTTGCATTCAATTTTTTACTCAGTAAAGCTTACGTAACTCCTCGCCCGGAGGCCGCAGCAGGTAGCAAAGGCAGATTTGGAATCACGTTCGAAGCTCTACAAGACAGTTGCGTCTCATCCTAAAAGGCCACTTCGACCAACCTTCCTTTCCTTGTCAGTGTCTTCTTAGGACCACATACACAATAGTCATATCACTGAACCGACTTGGTCGTTAGTGTCCCAGCGTACGCAGTAGGTAGAGTTTGGTCGAATGCTAAGGCTCGCCTAGAGCGACCACAGCGTACCCTCTGCATTAATATAGTGTGTTCCTATCCGGAGTAGGCGAAAAATTTTATGTACAGCGGCAGGTCCACATCGCTAGAGACTTGGCGAGCGCGCTAGCATTTTGTCAAACAGAGACAGAGGAGAATAAAGAGATGCAGATATGCGTTCTGAACGCATCAGTATACTTTCACTACGAACGGCGCGAACAGCGTGGCAAAAGCGCTTCAGCGTAATTCCTGCCTAAACTAACTTGAAACTGGCTATGAAAAACTAGAATGATGGAGGCTCGTGCGACTCGCCAGCGCGAATGCCTCGCTTGGGCTCTGCAACTCTTTCATTCTCCAATCAATTTTACACGCTCAAATTGGCAATTGAAGATCGGCATTTTCCATGCTCAGATAAAAAAAATCAGGCAAGGCGCCTTCGCGGAACCCGATCCGCACGAGTCCTTATTACTCCTGGTAATGTTGTACGCCCCATACTTTTGTGCACGTGTACAACGCTGTATAGCCGCGCAGGCCGCCGTCGCGCTTCGCCCGGGTAAAGTTGTGTGCTAATAAATGGGAAGTTTAGGCACGCGCCATACTTGATCCGCTCAATCCACTTGATCCGCTTGATCCGCTTCATCATTGCTCAATTCAGTGAACTGACCAATAGTGAAGTGGATGAAGTGGATGAAGCGGATCAAGCGGATCAAGCGGACAACCGCTTCGCTATTGCTCAGTTCACTGAATCGACCAATGACGAAGCGGATCAAGAGGATCAAGTGGATTAAGCGGATCAAGTATGGCGCGTGCCTTAGGGTGCTTTCATACCGCGCCGGCAGCCGCTGCTAGCAGCCTGTAGCCGCTTTGGCGCATTATTTCATATTACAGAGCCTTTCCAAAAAGTTGAAAGATTATACTATTTGTAATAGACATGCCGTTTAACCCAACGAATCAGGTTTGAGCAAGGTTTGAGGTTTCGATATTGGAATCCGGATACTGGAATAATGCTCAAAGTCGGCTAGAGGCGGCTACCGGCGCGGTATGAACAAAATCTCAAGCAAAGAACAGCATGAGCTCTGGAGTTTAAGGCAAGGCCTGGCAGAGAGGAAAATGCCACTTAAAACTGTGCAGGGTGGCTAATTGGCTGTCGTGCAATGCACCTGTCACACTGTACATACTCCTCTAAATGACATATTCGAAGGCCTATTATCAGACAGATTAGGCAAATTCCTTCATCGTTGGAAAAGCTCTTTCATAAGATTTTTGAGTGATTTACTAGATAAGATTCAAATGTTGCTAGTACTAGGTTGCCTCAATCTCGTTTCAGAGGTATACCTGAGTGTATGGTACAGGGGTTGGCACAGCTGGCACCGTATCAAGCTGAATATCGTTTTTATGGCGCAAAGCAAAGGAGATATCGTTTTTCCGTGGTCCGTAACGGAAAAGAGCCGCAGTGCTGCCGGCATGCCACCGACATGCTGTCCATCAAACAAACAAAGGCGTTGTTTTCAGCCAAAACGCAATAGTATGACACCAAATTTGGTGTATGCATGCGGTTGGGGGACCCGAACTATGGCCCAAAAATTTGTGAAAACTTATATGAATGAAAGCTGTGCTGAACTTTTTTCTGAATTAGCTGGCGTCGTGCCAGCCGGGTGCCAGATGAGCTGGCACCGACACTTTGCTCACATAAGTTTTCATACTTTTTTACATAAAACGTATAAACTGCAAAAGTTTAGATACAGAGAAAAAACAATTTCTTAATGTTTCCTTTTCAGCGTTTTATAGTCAATCTGAAAATTACTCGGTCTGCTCCGCAATCGAAAAATCGGCTTTTTCTGCTTCTAAGATGTATTTAACCACTTTAAAAGCTCAGAAAGCTGTGAAAAGTTGTTCTACGAAATTAGCATGCACAAAAACCCTACTACATACTTGTACATAATCTAAAAATAATGACGGGTCTTCAAAACAGGTCAAAGGGGACTTCGCACGAAATTTTCAAGATCAAACGGGGCTTCGTTTTGAAATTTCCCTGGTGCCAGCTCGTGCCGAGCCCTGGTATGGTATTCTTGCAATTTGACGGAACAGATTAGTGAAACAGATATCTCATCATAACGCAGTCATGATGAGCAATGATAAAAAAAACTTCTCTAATTTTTGCTTTATCACAGGATTGCGGTGAACTAGAGTGTGCCTTGACAAATTGCAAAAGACACAGCTCTTTATTTGATAGTATTTGAATGCAACGTATAGCTTACACCCTATTCAAACTTACCCTATTGAAGAGTTCGCTTTCAGCCCAATCTTGATTGACAAATCTGAGGAATTCACGAGAACAGAGGTAAGCTGTTTTTCCTTCGTCAAAGCATACAAACAATCAAAATTTATGAAGATACTATTAATCAACTGATAAGAGTGCCTGTTTTGCAAGCTGATATTCATTTACCACTCCATGCTTTGAGCAAGCTTCTATTTTTTATGCTTTTCACAAAGGATTCCTCATAAAGCAGATTTCATTCAAAGTGCGGAAAGAATATCCTGGATAAAAACTCAACAAGAAGCATTTTTGACAAGCGCGGGGATGTACGACATCATCTTGCCGGAAACAAGCCAATTCACAGGTCTCAGATATACGCGCATCGTTTGTGATTAGCATGCGAATTCGAGATTTAGGAAGCCTTTATGGTCTTGAGCAGGTCCGAAAGTTCGTGCCGTTTTTGAGGCCTATCCTAAAGTCGTTCAAAATAAAAATAAACTTCATTGTTGTAAGATAACAATAAAGATAAAGACAAACGTTCTAAACAGTACCTAATGCAGATCTTCCTCTTTCTAGCTGATAAATTTGTTCCAATTTCTTTGTTGGACGCTCGAATCATTGTCGAATCTCCAAATCTTAACCATAAGTTTTTAGTACCCTTATTTTAGCTAATTTCAGGATATTTCATTCCACTTCCAAGGGAGCTTTAGGGATAGAGTACACAAAATTCAAGACAATGCACTCTATGACATTTTAGCTGGATTTTTCGATTTAAAATAATTTTTAATGCTATCAAAGTTCCATATTTGGTCATTTCAAACTTCACAGAACATGAAACCGCTAGCAACAAAAAAAGTGCATTCAATAAAGATCGTTTTCCTTCTTCTGACAAATGTTTTTTTCGCTAATTTGTGTGGATTTTAAAGATGAAATCGTCTTAATTCTAATTTCTAAACGCACCCCAAGCTGTGCCCGGAAAATTCGAAGTGCAATTTTTCGAAGAGATAAACATCCATTGCTTTGTTACATTATGTAATGCTCAATCATAATCGATTTTCAGAAGTTTCAAATTCTGAATATTTATTGGTATTTGAGGCGTTTGCGTATTTTACAAATTTTCAAAAATTAAAACTTCTTAGAAAATTTTCTCAAAGGTTGCATGAGTCGAAAAAAACCAAAAAACTAATTGTTTGCGAATTATCTGCTCTATGCAATAGTGATCAAAGCTCTTCCAAAATTTGGAACTGTAGATTTTGAAAAATAGCTAAATTTAGACTAGGAAAAAACCCATGGGTTGAAGTTCGCCGATTATTCGAGCGAACAACAAAGAAACCAGAGCAAAAACACGACTTAAAACAAAAGAGGAAAAGATTCTGCATCGAATACTATAAAGCGCGTTAGTCTATCTCAACTTTGAACGATTCAAGATAAGCCTCAAAAACGGCACAAAGCATCGGATTGACCTGATTTATAAAACGATTGGCTTTTTTTTTTGAGATTTTGTCGAGACGCTCGGCATCACTGTTACCCTATTTTCAGGTGTATGAGCTGCACCCTGTTCGCTCTAAAGGCGCACACGCCAAAAGACTGCCTGTTACGATGGGGCGCGTTAAGTGAGAGTAATGTGCGAGAAGGCGACCGCTTCGCGAGGCAATTGCGCAGCGGCACGCTTATGTCTGCTCGTGTTTAGAGCAAAAAGGGTGCGGCTTATACACCTAAAAATAGGGTAGTTTCATTTCTAAAATGACAGGCGGAACAAAGAAATCCTCTTGTGATTCAAAAGCAGACTTTTATCACGTCATATTAGCAACTTATTTAGATAGCAGGACAGTGCAAGGCTCTGCGAAGCAGAAACGGCGCACCATTAAATTGGTGACAGAATCGCATTTATAAGCTGCTGCATGACCATTGCGCAATAATTTTGGGCGCGGACGCGGCTTAGCCGCAGAGCGCATGAGGTGCAGGATTCAAAACAGTGAGCATTGTGGAGATCATCGGCGGCGACCTACGAAAGAGCCGCCGAGCGACCGTTTGGGCGCGCATTTTAAGGATAAATAGCGAGGCGCTCAGGGATCCGACGACTCCTCCATTCTCTAGATCGTTTTGTTCTCTTTGATTCATCTCACTCATTACCTTTTTGCTTTGATGTATTTTTGTCGATAATATTATCTCATTAAAAATAAATTGTTTCGTAAATCGGTGTCTTTGGTTTGTGCAAAAGTCTATCTATCGTACAGAGCCCGTAGGGGTTACATGGGGGCCGAACCGGTCGGTAGATAGAAAATTGCATCGTCGTGTTCCACCGTGAAGACTGTGTTGGAGAAAGAAATCAAATTTATTGATTGCAGTGTCGAGATGGCGGAGAGTGGTACCAACAGAGGAAGTGCGAGGAAGGGCGCAGAAGCCGCAGCCCAGGGCACCAAGGTGAGCTTTGAAAACATAGGGGAAAAGATACGAGACACATTAGAAAGGGTAGATGAGGTAATGAGGCGAATAAAGACCGGACCTGAAGGAGTATGGAGAGAAACAGAAGAGGCAAGGATAGCGGGAAAATACAGAGAACAAATTGATAAAGTCTAAGGGGAACAGGCTAAGTCAGTGAATGAGGAGCTAGAGAGAATCAAGGGGGAATGGAAGCAAATGGGAGACTTCATAAGAAAGTTTTGCTTTCTTTTGCTGGAAAGAGGCATTGAAACAGCAGATGACTTAAGGAATACCTTATTACAATGGGGAAGGATACAGATTTGATAAACGATATCTGCAGAATGTTCAATACTGATGTATTCCAGTTAATGAATGTGCTCACCGAAGTACACAAGAGCGCCCTCAACAGGCCGAGAGACACAGTGGAAAACATGGATGTAGGCCCAAGTAGTACAGGTCAGGATAGTATAGAGAATTACAGTCAACAGAGGACTTATCGCGAATGTTTACAGAACGCATGGCCCACGCAGACACGGAATGGGAACCCCTCAGGATTGCGCTGGAAGCCACATTCGCGGAACGAGGAGGAGACAGGTCAGCCTCAAAGCTGGATAACTCTCATGCAAGCCAACGCATGCGTGAGCCCTGGTGTATACAGGGGTGGCAGGCATGAGAATTTCGAGGAATTTTTAAGAAGGTTTAAAAGGAAGTACCAAGGGGTAATTAGAGATGACAAGATGCTGGTGAGATCATGTGGGATGATCACCTCGAAGGAAGGGCGAAGAGTGTCTTTATGGCATTGCCGGAAGAGGTCAAGTGTAGGGCGTTTGAAAGTGTGTCGGAAACGTTGAGGAAACTATTAGCTAATGACTAAACGGCGGGAAGATTAAGGGCACTCACAAATCTTAAACAACTGAAACGTAGAGAGGGCCAAAGCGTGGCGGAGTTTTGCGTGGTGTTGAGAGGCTGGGCAGGGAAGCCAATCCTACCGCTACGGTAGGGGATAGGTCGCTCGAGTACGCGCAAATCTTGATGGACAACTTGAGGGGATGGCCAGAGTATACACAGCTACTAAGCGCGATCCACAGGGTAGAGCCGCAGGAGGCTTATAGCACGGTGAAGCAGCTAGCGCTAAGTATTGAGCAGTCAAAAGCGATTTTTGAGGCCCATGAGGTCGGAAACAAGAGACTTAAGTGGAAAAGAAGGTACCAGTGCTATGAGAGAGGGGGTAAAGAACTCCAGCAGGAGGAAGAGAAGCGGATAGTCACCGGAACAAGCAGGATAGAGCCAAACACTTTTGCAAGCACAGGAGATGGGGAAAGGAAGGAAGCAAGGGTTCCAAATGACAAGCCTTTCCCGCGAGAAAAGCTCTACGCAAATGTTGAAAGACAAGGGGAAAAGCAAGCATTGATCCAAGAAGATGCTTCACAGGTAGAAGATATGGACATATTGGGAGGAATTGTCCTTACAGACGCACCCAAGTGAACCAAATAGAAAAGGATAAGAAACTCGAACAGGGCGAAAGGAAAGATACACTCTCCCTTATGATGCGCAAAGCGACAAGCTTGGGAGTCAAGGTGCATGAAGGGGGTAAAGGCTTATTGGTAGGCAGGAAATGTGGAACCCAGATTCTCATGCTGAATCTACAGGTGCCCGCTATACTAGACACCGGGTCAATGATTAGTATCGTCCCCGTGGGGGTGTTGGCACGCGCGAAGAAAGCAGGATACGACATAGACATCTTGGAGGTGATTCTGGAGCGAGAAATGATTCCGGTATATGACGCCTCGGCTAACAAGATGGACTTCTTGGGGGCAGTTAAGATTCCAGTGCAACTGGAAGGAGGAAGGAAAAGCTTAGTAGCTTTCCACATCTCGGATGTAAGGGACGATGACGTACTCATTGGCACCAATGCGTTAGCAAATCTGGGAATCGATGTAGTACTCAGAACCGAGGATACGACGCACTAAGAAAGGTTGGGCGGGAAGAAGGTGACGGTAGCAAAGCGGGTATATATATCCCCCCACATAACTCAATGCTGGTGCCGGCGCGATGTGAAGGAGGTAGTGAACTAGAAGAGAGAGTGGTGTGGCCAAGCAGGGAAGGCCTACCAGCCGGGGTGTTCACAGTGAAGAATCAGGAACTGGACATTCCTGTCATGAACACTACGGAGAAGCCAATGATTCTCAAAGAAGGAGAAGAGCTAGGACAATGGGGCACAGAGAAGTGGAAAAGTAAGTGGGAAGAAATGATTCCACTAATGATGGACAGTGAGATACCACACTTGGATAGGGAGGAACGCCGCAGCATCCTGTATGCACAGCTGAGGGAAGGTTCCAAGGTAGAGCAGCTGGAGGGCGACTTGAAACAATTGGTGGACGAATTCGAGGAGGCATTTGCCGTATTGGACACAGAATTGACGGGAACGGACAGAGCAGAGATGTCCATTGAAACTGGTGATGCTAAGCCTAGCAGGCAAAAAGTTCTTCTCACCGCTGGATCTGTGTTCGGGTTATTGGCAGATACCACTGGCAAAGGAAGCAAGAGAGAAGTCGGCATCTACGACGACAGAGGGCCTGTTTCAGTTCAGAGTAAGTCCCTTTGACTTGAGTACAAGCCCCGCGGTGTTCCAACGCCTCATGGATTCAGTACTACGGGATGTACTGGGAGGCGAAGTTTTCTGCTATATCGACGACATAATTATATGTACAGATACCCGAGAAAGGCATTTTGAGCTACTAAGTAAGGTATTCAAAAGCTTGCAAGAAGCGGGACTGAAACTGAAAGCGAAAAAGTGCGTTTTGTTGCAAAGAAAGGTAGCGTTTTTGGGGCATGTGATCGACTGTAAAGGAGTGCACATGGACCCCAAAAGCAATCGAGAGGTATGCGGTGCCGAGAAGTTCCAAAGAGCTGAGAACATTTCTCGGCATGGCATCATACTACCGCAAATTCTGCCTTAAATTCTCCAAGGTCGCGGGGAGCTTATTTGCGTTGACCTCGCCCAAAACTGTGTGGAAATGGGAGGCAGAGCATGAAAAGGCATTTTCTAAGCTGAAACAAATGATAGCCTCTGCGCCTTTGTTGATGCAGCCGGATATTGAGAAAGCAAGTGAAGGATCCCGACCATTCGTGATATGCACAGACGCATCCACGGTAGGGTTAGGAGCGGTGCTGTCCCAAGAGGGGGACGATGGGCTAGTACACCCAGTCTATTTTGCCTCAAAAGGACTCAGCAAGGTAGAGAGGCGATACCACATCACTGATCTCGAAGCTTTCGCCGTAGTTTTCGCGGTAAGACGCTTCCACATGTTCATATACGGGCTTCCCACATAGTTCTGACAGATCACCAACCTCTGACGGCGCTTTTCAACAGAAACAATGTATCCGCAAAAGTGTTGAGATGGTCACTGGAAATGCAAAGGTACAATTTGGTGATAAAGTATGTAAAAGGCAGGACTAACGTGGTGGCGGATGCATTGAGTAGAGGTTCGGTAGAGAGTGGAATCTGGGAAACTCAGGAGGCAGGAGAAGCAGTAGTAAGCAGGGTAGAAGCAGAACAGAAAAGTAGGTGGTTCAAGGAGTTAGAAAAAGATGAGGTTTTCGGCCCAATTATCGTCTTGTTGAAGGGAGAGTTGAATAAACTGGTGAACGTACCAGGATTAGGTATTCTAGTCGAATAGCCGATTTTGAGATTGAAAACGGTGAACTAAAGATGTATCAAGAAGAAGGAAATCTAGTTATGGTAGTGCCAAAAAGCGCGAGATACGAAGTATTTCACGAAGCGCATGCAGGAACCTTTGCCGGACACTTTAGCGCGCATAAGCTGTGGAATCGGCTTAAGAGACAAGCGTTTTGGCCTAACATGTTGACGGACATCAGTAAATGGACTAAAGAATGTCAACAGTGCTTTGTACACAACCCTAGAACGACACTGAGACCACCGCTGAAGCCAATCGTCACGGAGAAGCTGTACGAAATTATTGGGGTGGACGTACTGAAATTAGGGTTGACGACGAGCGGAAACAGATATGCTGTTACAGTTATTGACCACTTCTCAAAGTATGCGGCAGCATATCCGGTTCCGGACAAAACGGCTGGAACCATAGCAAAGGTTTTATTCATAAGGTGGATAGCAGAGGGATGTAGATGGCCCAAAACAATACTGTCCGACAAAGGCGGAGAATTTGAGAATAAGGTGATGGCAGAATTGACAAAAATAACAAAAATTGAGCACCTAAATCACGAAGGGGTATAATCCACGGGAGGATGGAATAACGCAAAGGTTGAACGGAACTATACTGGCTATGTTGCGGAAAAGCCTAAAGGTGCCAGTGGAATGGGATGCAAGATTACCATTTTGTATGATGGCTTACAATCTTACCCCGCATAGTGCCACGGGAGAAAGCCCATACTTTGTGTTACATGGTAGAGATCCAAATTTTCCGTTAGCAGTGATTCCAAGCGAAGGTATTTCTTGGTACTCTATGGTCGAAAATATGGATGACTACAAGGCGCAGTTGCTACAAGCTGTGGCAGAGGCACAGGAGCGCGTAAAAGAGTATAATGATAGGGTAAGAAGGGAAATGAAGAGCGTATACGATGAGCGGAATAAGGTGGATATACGAAAACTCCCAAAAATAGGCGATAAAGTGTACATTTTGGCTCCTAAAGAAAAAGGGATGAGCACCCATCCGAAACTAGTGTCAGAATGGGCTGGACCATTTAGGGTGTTAGAGACAAGCCAAAATTCTGCACTGATAACGAGAATAGGTGATAATACAGAACCCCTGCGAGTCCAGTTTGACATGTTAAAAATAGTTCCTCAAGGTATTTCTGATGAGCCTGTAGATAGAGTGACTATAAGGGGCAAAAGAGGAAGAAAACCTAAAGTTATTGCCTATAAAATAATGACATCTTCTTTCAGAGGTGCTCTGATTGCCACAAAGACGGAAAAAGGACATCTGGAGTATCAATGTAAGGAAGGCTGTCTGAAGAAGGTCAGCTTAGGCGAACTGAAAGGGATCAACTTCCCAGGAGCTCTCGCGAAGGAGCCGGTGGGAAATTTGTGGTCGGTCTGGAAAGCTGCGAGCATTTTCGCCAGAACGGATATCGACATGGCCTCAAAAATCAAGTTTTGGAAGGACGGAGCAGTCTGCATGGACCCGGAGGGATTACGGAAACTGCTACGATTGGCATACAAAAGATGTCTCGATTGGACGGAATTTATTTACGCAAATGAGGGGATAAAGAGGCACGAGAGGATCGAAAACTACGAGTTCGACAAAATCTACGACACGGCATTCAGAAGAGCCAAGGCTGAGGTCGAAGGCGAGGAAAAAGGACATACGCCCATGAAGGAAGGAGGGACGGCATTTGCGGCCCCGATATCTGCAACTCTGCTAGAGAGGGACGAACCCAAACGGGGCATACACACGAGAGTTGCGGCAACTTTCAAGCAGCTCAGAGAGGTCCTGCGGGAGTGGAAAGAACATAAGACGTGGGTTATAGTATGGTCAAGGGACCAAATTGCGATGAAGAGCGACATATGCGCAGTAATGGAGATGTGCATGCAGCAATTTGAAGAGGGCGGAAAGGTAGTAACGGTTTGGCCGCTTGTCGTGGAGAAGATCGAGGAAGAATGGAAGCGGCTCTTACAAGGGAACGATCCCAACTTAAGGTGGCGAATTGGAATGAACCGCATACCGTTAGATGCGTCTTGATGAGCTGATTCCAAATCTGTCTTCCATTTCTGCGACACCGCTATCTGCAAAAAGTTATGAGCGGTTGAAATTGTGAAGTTATCGGGGTTTTAATGCATAATATGCTTTAAAATCCAACTTTGAAGTGCACGACTAGCATGATATTGAGTGTACTAATTCCAGTGAATGCTCAGATTCTAAAGAAACACAGATAAGTGTTTTTGAGCTACTAATTTTCGAGGTATGGCGCTGTACGTTTGCCAAATTTGGAATTTTCATTGGTCATAGCTTTTACCAAAGAACTTTTTGCTTTTTAGCTGTTCAAAAACACTTATCTGTGTTTCTTTAGAATCTGAGCATTCCCTGGAATTAGTACACTCAATATCATGCTAGTCGTGCACTCAAGTTGGATTTCAAAGCGTATTATGCATTAAAACCCCGATAACTTCACATTTTCAACCGCTCATAACTTTTTGCAGATAGCGGTGTCGCAGAAATGGATGACAGATTTGGAATCAGCTCATCAAGACGCATCTAATGGTATGCGGTTCATTCCAATTCGCCACCTTAAGTTGGGATCGTTCCCTTGTTAGAATTATTGAAGGTCCTTGACCAAACGCTTCTGAGACAAGCAAAGCCAGGATACTGCGTGATTACAGCGAATACCAAAGTGGAGGACGGCAAAATACTTATTGAAGCCGGAGCCCCGGAAATGACTCTTTTATTGCAGCTCGGACAGTCCGGTGGCTTGTGCGAAAATGCTATATGAGTTTGTCAGAAGAAGAGTCGCGAGGCAGATAGCGTTGCCGGAACTCAAACGGAACCAGCCGCTGAGGACATCGGCTCCCGACGGGGGGAGCATGTGGAGATCATCGGCGGCGACCTACGAAAGAGCCGCCAAGCGACCGTTTGGGCGCGTATTTTGAGGATAAATAGCGAGGCGCTCAGAGATCCGACGACTCCTTCATTCTCTGGATCGTTTTGTTCTCTTTGATTTGTCTCACTCATTACCTCTTTGCTTTGATGTATTTTTGTCGATAATATTATCTCATTAAAAATAAATTGTTTAGTAAATCGGTGTCTTTGGTTTGTGCAAGAGTCTATCTATCGTACAGAGCCCGTAGGGGTTACAGCGTACGCGCGCGCCGCGTTCGCGCACGCTCATCTAATACTGCTTCGTCATTCAGTAGACTTTATTCGATGAACTTTCGTTTTGAAAATTCAAAAAAAACTTTCTTCTTCCAACTCTGACATAAGGAAGCTCGTAGCACTATTTTTGAGAAAGCCAAGTACGTGTATTAAAAAGCAGAAAGATAGCACATAAGCCGTAGTCATGAATCGTGGCACTTTCAACAGTGGAAACTCCTTTGAATCAAAACTAGGATATTTTTTTAGTACTTATTCTTTGTACAGTACGATTGTCTCTAAAAGTTTATCGTTGGCTTTCTTTCAGTGATGCATACCTTCTGCTTTCAGTGTACAATCCACCATTTGTTGCAGGTAGGCGATGTTGTGACTGTTCCCAATTTTGATGAAAAAATGAAACACTTTGTCGAAGTTTTGAAATACAAGGACCCGGACGAATTGGAGGTGAGGCGACTCTAGGATGTGTGCACCTTACACAATCATTCATATATAATAGATCACCGATTTTTTTGTATCAATTGCACTCCTCTCTGTTGAATTCCTGGAAAAGAAAAGCATTTGAAAGGTGCCCAAAACAATTAAGAACCGTGATCGTGGTGGTGCGAAGAGCCACTACGAGACTACTACTTGAAATGCGAAGAGCCGTTTAACCCTGAGCAAAATTTGGTGGTACAAGTACAGCCGAAAAAATTACTACAAATGGAGTGGGTTGTATACAGAGCTGCTTATTAAAGGGGGTTTTGCCTTTGTGGAACATGTTCATAATCGCTCAAGCGAAGTGGTAAGCAAGAACAAGCGCATCACATTTTGATTCAACGCAGCGAAGACGTTTTTAAAGGATGGAGGACTATATTTCGGCGAAAGGAGTGGTCCCACGAAAAAATTTGCAGCACTTAGCATCCCTTGCGTTCATTTGAGCTGTGAGTTGCTGTAGATGTCCGCGCTAGACCTCCTTCTTTCGGTGAAGTACAGTCCTTACCCGTTCCTAAAATTTGCTTATTTGCTCCTTGCAAGAAAATGCAAGGCAAAGTCGGGGTTGATTATACAGGGTGTCCAATGTATCAAATCGAATGTTCAACCTTCGAGAACTCTCTTGTATGAAGAGCTTTCGCAATTCACCACCATATTCTTTAGATGGCTTCAGCTTAGATTTGCAGTATCTCAGACGCAGGGGGCAGGCGGTCCGCAAACTAGTGCTTTTTTGCAAGCAGTCAGCAGATTTCTGTGGAGTGGCCGAATCATCAGCGGGCGGTTCTTCCTTTACTGTCGCATGTTCTGCCAGCGGGAAGCAATGCAGAGTTTACCGCGGGCGCTCGTCAAATAATTTCTTCTAGAGAGCGCTGGCCGTAAAACAAGCGAGCGCTCTTACTCTTTTTATACAGTTTCGGGCACACGCCGAGCAAAGGTAAGACTGTATGGCAGAGGCGTCATTGATGGTTTAATACCCGAGTTTGGAGTACCTTCTCTGAGCGGAAGGTTCCTGTGGGCTGTGCGGTCCTTCACAAAGGACCATGCGGCCCTCAACGTCTTGAATATTCTCGCGGAAACTCCGCGAGAATTCGGTCACTGTGCCGCAACTTTTACACAACAAGACCGCCATAGTTCTCCAAGCGTTCGTCTAAAAATCGTCATTCTTTCAAAAATCTGCGAGCGGACCGCAAGAGATCAGCGGATTATTTTTTCCGGTGCCCGCTTGCCCAGAAATCTCCTGGTCGCCTACCCCGGCAATTATGAGATAAAGCAAAACGCGACTTCTCGTCGTTACTAAAGGATGTAGGAAATTTGAAAGCGGTTCTGAACTATAGAAAGTTCTTTTGCCTCGGAAAACAAAACTTGCAAGCAAACTACTAGCAGACTCGCTTATACTGTGTCGACTGTCTTTCAGTGCCCTCAAAAAAGTGATTTTGCCATTTAAAAACCTAAAAACAGCGAAGCAGTAAAACCAGTATGTGCAAAAACTTTGGTGCACAACAATACAGGTTTTCAAAAATATATTTAAATGGTAGTTTGTAGCGTTCTATGCTAGAAATGCCTACCACAATTCTACAGTAATGAAAAGATGTCGCGAATTTGTTTCACGGTTTGAGGTAAACCCTACTTCGCAGAACCGTCATCTAAGAACCGCGAACTTTTCATATTAGAAAGTCATCAAAGATCGAAAGTTCGATTTTTTTTTGGAAAACCCTATATCTACTTGCTTGAAACGAGAAACTTACAATTTTGTATTTTTCTCCCATGATTCTGACAGCATAGGATGAACATCCGTTGCGGACGCCTGAACAGTAGTCAAATCTCCTCGCGATGCCGTGACGCAAAACTCGAATATACTCTGAGCCACTTTCGCCTATCTTGGACTGAGGCAGGCTCGTCAGTTACCCTTTGTCATCGCTGCTGCATGTAACCAATGGGGATCGCGAAAGCAGTTGTGTCCTGTCGCGACCTCTCAAAAGCGCGACAAATCGTGCATATACGGGGCAAGATACTAGGTCCGGTGGAGACGAAGAGGCATGAGACAAAAGCTCGCCCTGCTAATGGGTTGCATATGCACACAACTTCCTATGATGCATGCACGTCGAAGACAATCACTATCAACAAAAGGGCTCCCACTGTCCAAGCAATGAGAGTCTTTATTCATATATTTCTACTGCTACACCCTTATTAATGCGTTGACCACACATTACCAGTGTTACCCGGGTCACTATGTTACTAATGTCACTCGTGTTACCCTTGTTACCAGTGTTATCCGTATTATCCGTGTTACCAGAGTTACTAGTGGTACTCGTGTTACTCACCTGTTAACGAGATCGCGTTCTAGAATGAGACTGTATTTGTGACCTAAAGAATTCTTAATGTACCTTCATTTCCGCAAAAACGCTATCGAGCAACATGCTAAACGCGACTCATGATTCGTACTCGCCAAATTCAACCCATTGGCTTCTGACAATGACGCTATCGCTATTTATATAGCAATCCCAAGGCGACAGATCTGCTTCGCACTGGTTCTACTATCTGCCTTCCTCGTGCTCACAGATTTTCTATATAAAACTGGTAGCTTTAAATTGAAGGAACCTTTATGCAGAAAGATGTATTCGAATTTTGATCATTCGCTAAATTAATGAGCGTGTGAATTTACCATAGTGCCGAACACGCTAAGTCACAAGTCTGTGTAGAAATCTGCTTAGATTCTTAATAGAACCTTGACAAAACGGCAATTAACGCAACCACTACTTTTTAGCGCCGTTTGCGTATAAGAGAGACTTTTCCATCCTCTTTGAACTGAAGTCCTTAGCCTGCAAATTTGCCTTAAAAACAAATTTATTACTCTGCAGAAATTCTGAATGTCGCTTCCATTTTGAGAGCCAAAAGCCGCGTGGACCTGTAGGTCGTTCAATTTTTTAAATGTCCGCGTCGGACTTGCTCGTCCTCCAGCAGACAATTGCAAAATACTTCCGGCGGGCAGTAGACTCTGACGCTTGCGGTAGGCTCTCTTAACCGATTGCAGTTGATCACTCGCGGTGACGTCACAAGAAGCCGAAGAAAAAATACTTCCGAACCACGTGCTCTAGAGGTGTCAGAAATTTGCGAATTCATTGGGGACCTCTAGGCGCGCAGTAACTCCGGAGCCCATATAGTACGCGGCCAATCTGCCGTTCGCTGACGCGCATTAAAAAAATATGCTCTTTGTTCCTTCTAAGCGTTTTTATCCGTCTTTCATCCGTTTTCGTGTTTCACCCGCATTCTGTTCCTTACGTCACTTTCCTTTCAACATCCTTTTCAGGTAAAAAATTGCGGATGCAATCTTGAACTCAGCATCAGCTTCAGGAACACTGCACCAGCTTAGAGGAACATTGCTTCAAGGAAGGACTGCTATGTGCCTCCAAGGAGTTGAAGGACAAGCGAGCATACGATGCCTCGCTTCGACATTTCACAACAAGGAGTTGAGCGTCGGCATACTCAAGGTATCGATATATTGTTGTAAGAATTCCGTACATTTTTGTTCATATGCCTTTTTATTTTCTGATTTGTTTTCTCATATCTCATGGAAGTGACTTGATTGCCGCACTTTTTGAGATTTTCTCTCCTTTCCTTCCTACTTCACTTTTTCTTTCAAGTAGATAACCACTTCGATCCTTCAAAGTTTGTGATCTGTCATCATATTTGCGAGTCTTGCTGCACTTCTCAATCTGATCATGCGCTCATTTTCAAACTTACTCTTAAAATTGTGACTGCTGCATTAGAGTCTTTCAAGCGTTCGAAAACAAGTTTTTCTCCCTCTAAACTTTTCTATCGCAGCAATATTATGGTCTGGTTAGTGCCAACGCAATGTCCTGTAACTAATTACAGGTACTGTGTGACTCGTATCTGCTGGATTCTGGTAGGTGGCTTGTTTGGAAGAGATGTGGATTGCTCGGTGAAGTAAGCTAGGTTGCAATAGTCTGACCTTGCACGGTGCCTCTCAAGGGAGTTGAAATTCCATCTACAAAAGGTGAGTTATCGATGTATATGTACACATGAATTATATGCTTTTATGTGTCTAGACTTTCGTCAACCTTTGTTTCTCAACTCTGTTTTACAAGGATGGCTCTGCATTCCAAGAAAAAAAAATCTTCCCTCAGTCTCCCAGTCTCCGACTTTACTTGACTCTCTTCTGAATTCTTGGATGTTCATTTCTGCCTCATATTTTCTGTGTCTCTCTAATTATTCCCATTTTAATTTGTTGTTATGATACCAATTTCTTAAAAGTGGTTTTTTTCTTATATCATTTATATGTCTTTCAATCTTTTTCTCACCGCAAAACGAGTGCTCCTCCTGGTACCATCGTGTTTTTTCCATCTCATTCCCATTCATCACCAGAACTTGTGTCTGTTACTCTCTGGTACAAATAAATAGTATTCTGTCTAGTAGTGTTCGCTTTTTTGAATAAAAAGTAGTTCAGAGTGGAAATTGAGTGTCTAGAGGTAGTTAGGGTGGGCTTAAAGGCAGCAGCTCGGCAGAATGGCAACTTTGGGATTTCATCGTTCTAGGTTCCTCTGAGCTGCTAAGTCCAAGACTGTGCTTTGCCTTCAAAAGATATCAATGACCAGCTTTTAGACGTGAAAAATGCTATTTAGGCGGATGCGTATTCTACTCTCTAAAGCGCGATTGGCTTTTGAGTGGAGACACCGTACCTACTACCCAAGAGCCAATCGCGCTAGAAGGCATACGCCGTCCGCCCAAATAGCACTTTTCTCTTCCGGCAGGCTGGGTTATTGATATATATCTTTTGAAGCTGCAAAGCACAGTTTCTAGGACCTATTTCATCCAAGAAAACCGAGAACGATGATTACAAATTTGTTATTCTGCCGAGCCGCTTCCTTTGAGGGGATGCAGCACAAAGATGGGAAAGAACCAGTGAAAGAGTGCGTCAACCACCGCTGGCGAGACCCCGGCCGTTCCCCATTTTG